ATCCCGGCAATAGCCTAAGAGCCTCATTGAGAAGACGCTTAGCGAGAAAATCAGAGAGTGCAAAGAATTGCTAAAGCAGTGATCTTTGGCTAATCATGGCACTTGGCCGAACTTTCCGTGGGAATTCACGCTTCTGATATCCAAACATGTATCATGGTTTCTATATCCATCAACTTTGACAAGCCATCACGAACAATTAGCGTCGATGATTTCCGGCTTCCGAACGAGATTCAGTGGAGAGAAAAAAAAGAAAGAAAAAAGATCACCATGGGCCGTGAGCTCCCATAGCGCCGCCGATCTTTTTCTTGCAGATCCCTTTCTGCACGAAGATCCGGGGCTGCTGACAGCTCTTTTCCGAATTGCGGGAGCGAAGAATTGATCGAACGGGCGGAAGCCGGTGTTTACAATTCCAATAACTTGTACGCCGCGACCCAGTTAGTTAGGCTTTTTCTGCCTCTTCTTCTTTTTTTCGGTGGGCTTGGTGGTGTTGTGTTGACGCTTGAGTCCGGTAGACCGAAAGGGAAGGTCTCGGAAGCTAACGGACTCAGCCTCTAGCCTTGGGAGGAGCTATAACACGAAGGGGGCCCCGTCTTGGGTCGTATCTGAGAACCGGGCCTATAAGAGGGGGGGGTTACAGAAAGACAGAAAACTTGGATAAAGCCGAGCAATTGTCAACTCTGACGCCAGCTAGGCGTTGATACTGTAGAAAGGTTGACACATTCGGTATACTGTGCGACTTACGGTAGATGGTTTGGCTTGTACCTATAACCAGTGCCTCGTCTGCTGTGTACCTGAGGAGAACACTCCAAGAGAACATTCCAGACTTGCAGCCATGCAAAGCCAAGTCCCGGAACATGGCAATAAAGTTGGCCGTTAGGACATTTAATCTCCCCTCCATTATGCGTCCTCGGTGAATCAAGAGAGTAAACTTTTGAAACCAACCACACGTGCTCAATCTGACAGGTCCGTCTTATCTTTCATGCATCTTCAGTTTGATCGCAAGCACCTGCAGCCTGCCATCTGATTTCCAGGGCCGTCAGGAGTCCCTCCTGCTGTAGATTGCGCAACTCCACCAAGCGTTTCACGGGGAATCTTCAGCGTCGTACCGCGAGTCTAGTGTCCTGTCTAGCATTCAATGCAGCTTAGGGCTCGGGACCTGGAGCCTGCTTGCTTCGGGCGGCCGCTAAAATATTGAGGCTTGCAGAAGTCGGTTTTGGATGACATCCCTAGCCATGCTCTCAATTTTTTTCTCTCTCCCCCGCTTATCAGGGGGGGCCTTGTATGCGACGGGGACTTTGTTCAGCTAACTCTTTTTTTTTTTTTGTCTTGCCTCTCTTCTTTACGATGAATCCCGTCCCTCTCTCCCCTTGTACGCCCTTGCAAGAGTGCCCTCCTCACCTCGCTTAGATATCCCATATTACCCCAAATAACTCTGCATTCATCGCTAATGCAGCTTCAACCAGACTATTGGGCTTCTCTAGTGCGCGTAATGCACGTGGAAATGGCATGTTTCCCTTGTAAATGCTCGCTTTTTCCTGCAGGACTTTAATCATTTAACGTGGGAGGTGCTAGTGCCGAGTGGTTCGCAGAGGCTAGAGTCAAAGGCTGAATTAGGCCCGTCCCTTAAGTCATTAATGCTGCGTATTAATTATACTAGGCTCTTTTTTTCTTCTTCCCATATGCTAATTGGAATGCGAATGCCGACAGTAACAGCCTGCTATACTAGTATATGTAGTTCCCCGTTTCTGTGACATAAAGGGGGGTGAGATGGCGCCGTAGTTTTAGAAACATTAACGTGTAGCTGAAGCAAGGGCTGCGCGGGTTAGCAAGCAATACGAGTAAGTAGGTGCATGTATATGTCTACTGCGCTCGCCCTCTTCCCCTCTTAGTTGATTGAAGGATTCTTTTTGATCTCGAAATCGATTCTGGGGATCAGGAAGGACAATGAGGTTGCTATCTTACCTGTTGTTGGCGCTCCTCGGAGCCTTTTCCGCGGTATTGGCAGCGGACAGCTCGGCAGCTGAGAACTCGACCGCCGCCAATCCCCTTGCCGCTTTGCCGCTTTGTGCAGTATGCCGCTTCTTTTTCTTCTTTTCTTTTTGTCCGAGTTTTGGCTAACAAGAAGAAGCAAAAATGTCTTGCGTCGGCTGTTGCGAATTCCACCTGCAACCCAGATGACGTGAAGTGCACCTGTGAAAGCGAGACGATTCAAGCAACATCGGCAATTTGCATCGCAGGTACTTGTACCGTTCGGGAATCTCTAAGTATGTCACTTGCTGGACCTCATTCTCCATCTCATCCCGAAGACGATCGCCCTCTTTAACACTTCACTGTTAGCCACCAAGAATGCGACAAGCACACTCTGTGGTGTCCCCATCCGTAACAAGACGCCCATCTTCGCCAATGTCACCATCATTCTCGGCGTCATCGCCGGTGTTGTTGTCGTCCTGCGTATCGGCTCCAAGATTGGCCTGGGACTGGGTCTCGCTCCCGACGACTATGCCATTCTCGTGACGCTCGCGTGCGGTATTCCTTCTTCGGTGATGAACGTTCGAGGTACCGGCGGAAATGGAGAGGGCAAGGATATCTGGACACTGCCGTTCGACATGATTACCCGGTTCGGAGTGTACTTTTACACCCTCGAGATTTTATATTTCGCCCAGGTTATGCTTTTGAAGATGACGCTTTTGCTTTTCTATCTTCAAATCTTCCCAGGGCCGGCCAGGAAACTACTGTGGTCAACTGTTGTCGTAAACGCTATATTTGGCGTTTCGTTTATGCTTCTTGCGACCTTCCAGTGCACGCCAATCAGCTTTTTCTGGACAAATTGGGATGGCGAGCACAAGGGCAAATGGTAAGTCAAGCTGCCTGTCAATACTTCTTCTACACCGTTGGATCTCCCAGCTAACAGAGAAACAGTCTTAACAGTAATGCCATCGGATGGGCAAACGCAGCCATCAGTATCGCCTTGGATGTTTGGATGATTGCAATCCCCATGTGGCAAGTCCGCAACCTCAACCTTCACTGGAAGAAAAAGGTTGGCGTGGCAATCATGCTCCTTGTTGGTACCTTGTAAGTATATGCCCAACAGTAACAGCTGACAACGTCTTGACTAACATGAACCCAGTGTTACAGTTGTTAGTATTGTCCGACTCCAGTTCCTTGTGAATCTTGGTAGTTCCGCGAATCCCACATTCGACCAAGTCGACGTATCGATCTGGTCCACCGTTGAGATTGATGTCGGTATCATCTGTACCTGTTTGCCGTCCATTCGATTGTTCTTGATCCGTGTATTCCCCATCCTGGGTGGCTCTTCGCACAAAAGGAGTGGCTACCAAAACTACCCGGACAGCTATGGCAAATCCGATCACGCAAACAGTCGGGCAAAGACACTGGTTTCAGCCGCCAAGTCTCAAAGTCGCCCAGAGCATAATGGAATCGAGCTTGAGACAAGGTATGAGGTTCGGTATAGCACTGAGGATGAGGCGAGGTTGGTAAGGATGCAGGAAGAGCATAACATAAAATCGGCGCACGAAGTTGGCGCACGAAGTGTAAATAGCGCAAGCGAGGTATCGCTGTAAATTATTTAATGTTTGCTGGATCTCAGATTTAGAACAGCTTTTTTTTACCCTTATGACATATTAAACTTTCTATATTTCTCCAGGGCGCCGTTTCCTGAATCATCTGTGATTGAAGCTATTCGTAGTCCCAATATGTAGAACTGCGCTGCAAAGACCGAAGAATTCCGAGAGACCTTCGATGTCCTGTGCCACACCCATCCTCAGACGGTGTTAATGTTATTGAAGGATCTCAAACTTTGAGAGTCTATGCATTTGTGACTGTTAGTCTATATTTGATGAAACAGGTGGCAACTTTTAGACTCAAATTCATTTGAATGACTGACAGATAATTTTAGAATGCTCTGAAACAGCTCCTGAAGCATGTGCGATGATATGCGAAGATCGGTTTTTTTTTTTTTTTTTTAGTTTCCTCAGAGGCATTGCTAATTAAGCACCTCGTTGGCTTGTACTGGATGTGGCAATATAGAGAGCAGTCTCCGGGGAGTTGCTTTTATGAGCGCCTTTACGAGACTTGGAGAACGATGCGGGATTTTCTCCCCTCAAATTTTACGCTGAAGCAATGCATGCTCCGTATTTTACCAAACTTCAACAACACCATTACTGAAGAGTATAGAGAATACAATGTCAAACCCATTTTTGACTACAGACATCTCCCGCTGGCCTTCTCAACACCAATTCTCCGAGTATATGAGCAGCATCGGTCTGTACATATGCTCTCAAACGCGTGTATACGGACTTCGTTTGTCGTGCTACGCAATCCCCGGGGACAGCGGATGTTGTGTACATGTCAGAGCCATGAAGATGCCAACCGGGCATTGCATTCCACTATTAGACGGCGTTTATCAGTCATGCTTGCTCTCTGATCGATTTTGTTTGACACAGCTGAGGGACTTCAAAGTAGCCGGCCATTGATCGAGGCACGCCAAGTTACGACCACAAACCCACAACTTGTGCAGATATATTTTAGTATGATCACCTAAAGCAACGGAGTTGATGGTAGCACTGACGATCACCAACTAGTGAGGTGGACTCCCAATTGTAGGCCCGTTATATCCGAGTGACAGGTTCACACATGTACCTGGTACGTAGGCCATGGAGCCACTACCTACCTATAGCTGAATTGTGGATGAAGAGGTATCAATTGATGATTGACGCATGGTAGGTACGGCGAGCTAGTATCACCGACTGAACAACTCGCCCATCTATTGCTTTAAGCTGGAGGTTTCTCCTTCATGGATTGACTTCTGAGGTGGCTCACCCACCTTTACACACACTCATGTTTTTTGCGAATCGGATTCTACGGCTCTTGCAGCGGGTGCCTTGCATTTCACCCACCCCACCTTTATCTAAAGTTGATGTACCCCGCAAACCAATTCCAATTGATGACATCAAATTCCAGCTTCACAAAAAGAACACAGGATGAGTAACAGAATCGCCAAACGCCAACGCACGAATCATTCATCCGTATCTAGTCTCCAAAGACTTGTTGCGTCTGAGAATGCTCATCTGAAATGGCAAGATTCGCCTGAGGGCCTCAGCCCCGACTGGGTCTTTTCCAACAACTCCAACGTGCAGTGAGAAATTCCCAAGGATCGTTTTCGGCTTCACATGATTGACCCTCAAACAGTGTATGCAACGATCGAAAATGGTTCACCGAGTTGACAACCTTTCCAAGCACCACATTGGGTCCTTTATCTTCTCAAGGAGTTCCTGCATCCGGTGTCGGAGTTGTCAACTTACCTGTCAAGCGAAGCCCCAACTTCAGGGGACCAGACGCCCATCACTTTCTTCGCCTCACAGACGTGCTTTACATGCCTTCATCCGTGTGCAACATTGTCGGCTCACCAATCTTTGAAATCGCGCCTCAAACTAGCTTCGGCGCGACGGAGAACAGTCATGGCAGTATGAATGATGCAAGTGGCAAGCCGGTTGCCTATTTCTCTCTCGATAATGAGCGGTTTTGCCTGAGACTCAGCGGACCTCCCGTTGGCCCAAGACTTGGACCGTCCAAGTTTCAGCCTGATAAGTCGTACTGGCTGAGAGTTACCTGGCCGGCTAGCGAGAGAGCACGGTGGAAAGCTCACGGCCAACAAATCAAAGCAGACACCGATAAGCGTCAATGGGCTGGGGAGCAGCCTTATACTACGGAGGAGAAGCAGTGGCTGAAAAAGTACTATGAAGGGGAATTTAAGTTCCTCATGGCACATGAATTGAGCATCTACAATGAAGAGGACCGAGCGGAAGGCCGAGCTATCATGCGAGGGCTTGCAAGGGATGACGAGAGTAACGATAGTTATGAGATGAAAGAGGATGAAGAAGACGACGACGACGATGAGGATGAGGATGACTCGGATATGGAGGGTCATCTCGCTGATTACCACTTCAGTCAAGAGGAACTGGACTGGATTGAGAAGCACTATCGAAATTCTGCGACCTTTATGTTCTCGCATGGTCTCAAGTTTTATGATGAAGAAGACTGCGTAATTGCTAAAAGGCTACTGCAAGGTTTCATGCGCGAATAAAAGGTGGTTGTCGTGCTTTACAAAAGACTTGAAACTCTTTTTGTCAGGTTATCAGATTAACATCAGATCGTGAGGTGATATTCAACGAATACACGAAAACAAGATGGGGGGTTGACATCGGACAGTGTCAATTATTTGTTTAACTATTTCTAACTACTTCTTGCTGTTATCCCCCTTTTGCTCTTTGTCCGCCGGTAAGTATTTCCTTTTTACCCATGTTCATATACATGTACTTCTTACGCATATGTAGATGAAGCACTATGAACGTCTCTACTGCTTTGCTGGCACTACATTTCATGCAAGTTAGCATATCAAAGTCACATTCGTTGAGCGGTGGATTCGTTGGATAGACTTTTAAAGCTTTAGTTACGAGAAATGTGCTGCTATAGGCTAACCATGCATAGGAATATGACCATAGTAGGATCTGCCACGTAGTATCTATTAAGCATCTCATTCGCCATTTCGTATCTATTGGGCCGCGTAATTAATAACTAAATAGGTCAACATTCAATGCCAAGCAGCTGCGAGCGCATCGGCATAATCCGAAGCATCCATCGGTAGAAATCCCCACGTGCACCTTTTGTGCCACGGCAGCGATTTCCGACAACATCTTGGCACAACACCAGAAGACTACTACTAGTATACGACGAATCGAGATCTTCAAGGGAACGCATCTAGCCGGTCAGCACTAGCCACCACCGGGGAAGGACCTCGAGGCACGCCACTAACCACGCACATGGCATCAGCATCCGTCTGTTACGATACCGATTGAGCACCTCTCCTATAGGATTTGCATGTGACATCAAGGTGGTATTTACCCAGGCAACTATCTTATGTACTTGCAGTATGCAGTGGCTCCCCCACGCACATGGCCCCTGGCGATCCTCGATGGCGTGGTAGCTGCACGACAAAACAACAAAATAGGATAAGAAAAGTGTGTTTTGGATCATCACACTCCCGTGTCAAAGGTGCCCTTGTCGCTACATATGCATATGTATGCATCCTCGACCACTTTCGGGTGATGTTGATTACCTGACTAGTATACCTAGTGGGTGGAATAATTATTTCCACAACTCTTGTCGGGCCGCGAAGTAGATTTAGGTAGGTATATGTACTTGAGCATCCAATATACATTGCATCCAATATACATTACCTAGGAACTGGTTACTTCGATCACACGCATCTTGTAAGCGTATGGAAGCTTGTTGCTGCGCTAGGATGACTGTAAGGAGAGAACAAGATAGACATATGTCATATACAGTAGTAAAATTCTTCCGTAGGTATGATGATATTAAAGTAAGAAGCGGCGCTTTAAACTCCGTTGGCCGATAGACTACCAGGGGCATCGAATATCTCGCGCGACTTGGAGATATGGCACTTAGCTCACACGTAATATCGGACTATATCGTACGCTTTGATTCCAACTACACCATGCATAGCTAGGGTGTAAAATCGATATACGCGAAAGTCAATGAGCTAGTTCCATAGCAGTAGCAATACCTATACATTTTCATTCCGATAGCTGTGCAGGGAAGTCTGTCTTTGACCTCTGCACCCACTCCGTGAGCAGGCTGAAAAGGTGATCCCATGCAGCAGCTCTCGGCCAATCATTCGCCATCCTGATTCGCGCTGCTCGTCGCCATAGTTTTGGTGTAGCCAGATGTGCCACGTGCTATTTGAGGGCCTCCTTGACCACCCGATATCCGGGCACTCCATTCTGTCACTTTTCCAGATCTTGGGACGGTTATATATGGGCACTTAAAGGGCTTGACAGCAATTAGTGGAACAATTCCGGCTGGAGCAGAGTGATCAGCGCTTGGAGTAGAGCTTAAGCTAGAATGAGATAGGAATGAATGAATATAAGCACTATGAAAAAAAGAGCGAGAGGGAAAAAAACAAGGCCAAAAGAAATCAATTGCTCTCCCTCAATGTTTCTGGCCACCGTGGGAATCTCGTACGGCTTCGTCTTACAAGCTAGGATCACGGACAGATACTCGGGAATTAAAGTGGTCCATCGAACGTTGGCTTATATTGGCGTATCGGTAAGGATTGCATTGGCTTCCATTACGAAAATGACAGCACGGCAGCGCGGCTGACTTGTGCATTGCGGCAATCGCCTTACGCGTTTACTCATCATTATGTATTTGCCCACGTCAGCACTCAAGTGTCGGCGAGATTTCTCGATCAAGAAGCGAGTAGATACATGAAACCGACATGGCCCCACTTGTAATCAATTCAATAAAATTAGGTTCATGAATGACATAATAGTATTTCACAGAAAGGTTAGAATTCAGTGACTATCAACTACCTATAGTGGCATGAAGATATACGTGATACAATATACCTAGTAATGAGATGAATGAACACAATTTGATACGTAATAGTCATTTATGAAAAATGAACCGCTCGTTGAGAATTGGCTTACCATAGAAACCGAAGGTGCAAACGCCATTCAAAATCCTGTGTGCAAGACTGTCGCATCGACCCAGCAATTTTTCCTTTAATCGTCCTTTACAAATGCTCAGCAAGATGTTTATAATCAAGCCTTAGTTACGCTACGTCTACTTTTATGTTAACCACTGGGAAGAAGACTAGCTATTTCGTGCCCAGAGCGTAAAATAAACACTAGAGTATCTCAAAGACGGAATTCATGACGGCATTGATACTGGGTAATAAGACTTTTCCTATTAATCGATATATGCCTTTCTTTTAATTTTAAAATTAGATTACATGTACTGGAGGTTTCCGTAAGATACTATACAAAATCTCACAGTTTTGTACGCTAATGTTTTCTATATGTAAATCTAGTTCAAGACCACAGTAGGAACGTCATTATATGAAATCAACAAGTCAGCATACACAAGGCAATATCTTGTCATTCTTGCTGTCTTACAATCATCTTGGACCACAAGCAAATACAGAGCGGTGGGAAAATATGACCATCTAGACCTCTTTTGCCACTCTCAGGGGTAATAGAGACATGTTCTCTAAGCTAGGGGAAAGGTCGGCGGTAAGCCATCTTAGATTTTACTATTCAGGAAGGTAAAGAAAAGAAACAACAAGGAAGTTTGACTCGCCTTTGTTCTCTGTATCCCTGACTGTGATCAGTAAAAGAGGCCTCGTTGGACTTTGGAAGAAATATGTCTCCTTACGGGTAAAATGCTAAAACAGTTCAAGCTACCAACGCGTTGCTAAAGGACTGAAGGAAAAGGAAGAACATAACTTAATCATCGGCGATTCATCGCTACCACGATGTTCAAGTTGGAGAATTAGCTTTTTGATCGTTGCTCGCTATCAGAAAAACGTCCACAACGTTCATTCTAAGTAAAGCTAAGAACAAGCTGAGCTGACTTGATGCAAGATGAAACCCAAAATAGATATAAGTTACGTGATCATGTAATATATCCGTTATCAGAGGCATAATACGCAGAATGAAAAGGGTTTAGTAGCGCCCAGATGAGATTTCCAATATATTACCATGTATTACTGCGGCCTTGTCAAAGCCAAGTAGAATTCAGGTAGGCGGAATTTGACTGATGATTCATATCAGTTACTACTTGCAAAACAAATCAGCAAAATAGTATGCAATTGAACCTCTTTTTTTCTCACATATTTCCTAAATCCTGTAGACGAGATATCTAAGCATATAAGCCTAATGGTATACTGTACAGCCTACACTGGAACTAAAATCTCTGGATAGATGTGGGCTTTGAGATTTCCGCTCGGCCAAGCAATTCGCCCGAGTTCTCTGTAATTGAGCCGATCAGCTGATTAGATTGCCTGTCGTGGGTAATCCTGGGTAACTTGAAAGACATCCCTCTGAAATTCGACCATCTTTCCGCATTTTTCGCCAATGGTGCCATTCGATCTACTTAGCCGGTATCCGACGATCCAAACGACAGCCGCTGCGTCACGCATTGTGCTGCAAAAGTCCTCAAGAGCCACTTCTTTATACGACATCTGTTTTATCAGATTGTGTTGGCCAAGCGTTTATTATCCCATTTTGGTGTAGTTGCCACACACGGTGACATACATCTGACAGCGGCCTGGTTGATCCCAGCCGATGCTACACTACCCGGAACGTCTGAAGGAAACCCGGGATCGAACATTCAAGCGGTCGTATATGCGGATATCATGATGGGAATCTCATGCGCATCTCATTTGCAGCTGATATTAGTGAAGAAGCCACTGGATGCCCAACACGACTGGCGATTTAGCGTTGAAAGTATAGTGTAGAGGGGCCTTACTCAGCGGCAGGCTGGAATCCACATTGCGTTCCTCATGTTCGGCATGTTAGGTATGTGTTTGTGCTGTCAATTGCATGGTTCTGAATAATGATCTGACAGTTGACAAAAGAACATGTACGCTATGACCAGGTATCACTGCTGAAGATGGGCATGGATTTCTAGGTCACTGGGTGGATAAAGCCTGGCTGTAAGCAACGCATCATCCTTGCTCGTAATATCTGTGACCCTTGTTTGCAACGCATAATCATCCTTGTGCGCGGAATCAGAGGTCCAGCAGCCTGGCATCTCATAAATGCTCTTGGATCTGTTTTCATATCCTTGCGTCTGTTGTCACTAATTCACGGCTCGATTCAGGCAACAGGTAGTGCTTGTAACCAAGTTTATGTAACCCCTGCTGTATGTATCATGGGCTCCGACATGCCTGTCGCTAGCGCCAGAGATCTGCTGTTGTACAAGTTACCTAGGTGGCTGAGATTAAAGGTTCAAGTGTTTGGTGGGCTTGAGTTGATTCACTACCTACCTATATGACAGGCCTGATGTTTTACTGGATCCTCACAATGTGCACCCGCGTGTTGAGGTGGTATTAGCTGCATGCCAAAACAGATCGAGTTAAGCCAATTGCCTCTTCGTTAATAGCTGATCGTGGCTTGTGTCAGGTCCCCTTCATCCGCTTCTTCTAGTGAGGAGCCAGCGATTTTAGCCTATAAGAATTGGGGAGGAAATAGATTGATATGAAAACCTCATGGCGTCTTAGGTACTTTACAGCCCGTGTTAGGAACCCCTTGTCAATGCGACCTAATGCAAACTTGAGCGTTTTGGCAAAATGAAGTACCAGCGACGTCTTAGTACAGGTAGGTGCCGAACTTCGCTACAAAGGCGAATGTAGCTTGCTCATCCCCATTGCCCAACAATGCACAGTGGGATACAGCTACATGTCAGTATTTAATCCCCGTTAATGTTGGAGTTATATAAAAGTGCGGAATTTATAGTTGCTATTTTAACCTGGCTGTGTTTAACCTGGCTGTGGTAAGAAGGCACAAACATGCTGGTCTGATAAAACAGGGCACTACCAGTAGTGCTTTAGTTGCTCACCATACAGTAATACAGCAACAACACTACCATGACTTAATTGCTAGCTACATGTAGGTAGGGCTAGTAGTTGAACTAGTGGTGTATATTGTATATATCAAAACCATTAGCACAAATTTCATGAACCTGAATCATTTCAGATATACAAAACGCAAACAGCACAATTCATTACTTGCTTTCTTTTCCCGCAAAAAGTTAACTTGTATAATACGTGGGTGAATTTTTTTTGCCTAAAGCGGTTGATCGTATACAGTGGAGCAAGGGCGACCTGCTTCGAGCTTTTCGATTCACTTGAGCCATAGAGGCTTCAATGCAGCGCCATTTACATGTCATCTGCTTAAGCTATACTTGGCTAAGTCAATGGTAAACGGCCCTTATCTGGCTACCTATGTATGTAGCTTAGCTACATACAAGTTTTTCCTACCTGACAAGGGTCAACAGGGATATTTAGTTACATCCCACTGTAGTGGTTGGAGATGTAGGTTGGTCGATCCAACGAAGCTAAAAAAGGGGATGAATGCTTTAAGGCTAGTAAGTTTTATAGTACCTACCACCTACCCAGTTGTCTAGAGTGCATATATCGACAATTGAAAGTGCCAGGTTCACCGACATGCCTGTCAGCCACATGCCAGCTAGTCGAGTGCTAAAGGATCCCATGGGACCATCCTGGAACATCTGCTAGGATCTCAGCCATTTTCTGCAGCCTTTATTTTCTTACCATAAATACGAAGTATAGCTCAACTAACAACAAATAGCATTGGTTGCTAATACGCACGAAAGGAAGAGGCATCTACTGTTTGTTGTTATTTTTTGTTTGTTTCCCTATAATACAATTGGCGTCGACTGGATTGTGTTATCATCTTTCTTCTCTACATCAACCATGTTACTATTTGGCGGTCCTCAGCAACTCCGTCTGTCTTGTGACAGGTGCCATAAGAGAAAGCAGCGCTGCACTCGCACCGCACCCAGCGACGAAAATCCCTGTCGTCGCTGCAAAGAAGCAGGTGAAAAGTGTGTCTTTAGTCCTCCTCTCCGGCTGGGCCGGCCCAGCAAACGGCAGAAGCAAGAAGGCAAGCTCGAAGAAACCAGTTACAGAGGTCAAGAAGGCAGCTTCTTGGCAGTTTCGAATCAAGACCTTTCAGGAACAACTGCAACAGAAACAACAGCATCATCTACAACTACACAAGACGAGAACATCTCGGGGCTAGAGACTTCTTCGCCATTTTCCATTGACGGTATGGGAGAGATGGAAACCTCTTCTGCAGACCAGCACGAGCTCGCTTGTACCGCCTCCTTATTGAATCACAATATTGTGGCAAAGTCTTTCGAAGTCTGGCCACTGCCTCTAGATAATTACACCGACCCGACAATATCAGTCACAACGCCCGGCTTGTTCCGCGGACAATCTACAATCTACAACGACGAAACTTGGTCTGATCTATTCGACGACAAAGCACACTCGGAGCCTCCAACTTCTTCTCACATAGACCCGTTAGATCCATCTCTGATGATGTTGCCTGGAGCCTCGGCCAGCGACTCTGCGATAGGATCAATAGACCACTGCCCTTCCGACATTGCAGAATCGCCAATTATGGACCCGATATCAATGCTTTCTCAAATACAATTAAAGCTCCATGGGATTCAAACTCGAAGACCGCCCCACGCAGCAGAGCTTCAGATCGTTGTGAACCAAACTGTACAAATTGCTCAGAAGTTCATGGAGGTCTTGAATCAGATCTTACCACCACGCACAGCCGATTCTAGTCCAGCATCTGTTCAGCACCGGCAGCACATGCCTCACTCTGTGAGGGATACATCCATCTCATCCAACGAGGAGTCTCCATTTCACCTAGAATGGAATAGACGGCAGCAGCAGCAACAGCAGCAGCCACAACAACCACAACAATATACGTCAGCAGGCACTGTGGACACGGTGGAAATCCGATTGGCACTTATTTGCTACATACAGATCCTCCGTAGCTACAAAAACCTTGTGCATATGCTAGACAACTCCATGTCCACGGCCGACGCACAACAATACGACCTCACAGATTTTGTGCCTGTCCAGATCGGTAGCTTGCATACAGTGGTCAGCCCACGGCTACAAATTGCGCTGTTAGTGCAGTTGATCTCGCAGCACACGGAGGAAATTAGGCACAAGACTCGCCAATTGGCAACGAGAGTCGAAACTCGGTCCAACATGGACCCGAGCCTTAATAACATCATTGGCAAGGATATCCGGGGCGAGGAAGAAGACTTGCGGGACAGACTGGACTCAATATCAGAGAGGCTGAAGATGCATTCACAGTTTCAGGACCACCGGAGCCTCGACCGATAGCAGGAAAAAATTAATATACTAATGTATTGCATCTATCCACTTAGAGAACTTTGTTATGGCCTTTGTGCTGTGTAAATGGTGTACAAGTATACATGTAAATAATAGACTAAATTAACCCGAATAACAGTACATAACTATGAGAACAAGCCAGCGATAATAGGAGAATTTGAACTATCTCGGTTTCAGCGCGCCGACGTTTATATCGAGTGACTCAAAACGGCAAGGCAGGATTCGCACTAGCCACGTTATACTTCACCATTCGGGAGAGATGTTCCCGGATACTGGGCCTAGGCGTTGAGCTAACCCGCGCTGTGGCTGAATCTCCAGAGATACATAGAATATCGTCAATGTGTTCATACGCGAATCAGGCAATCGAGTACGTCTCGCGGTAAGAACCTCCAGACTTGTGACTAGGCCAGGCCCTGCTTGTCAGCGCTAATGGGGAAAAGGATTCGGCATGCAGCAGTAGGATCACGACTTCATTCGCAGGCCCTGCCAGTGTTGCCTGGAAGCTTTGCCCCTTCACAGATGCCCAATTGGAACGGCGCTGATGGCGCAGCCACTGGTTCCCCTTGCAAGTCAGGCAATACGTACAAGTATGTTCGCCATGCCACGGGACGCTCCGGATACTACTCCGTAGCGCATCCTATCGATCTACGTAACGTCCATGCATGCAGATCTCTAATCAGATTACGGAGTGTCCCTCTGAAGGCCCGATGTCAAGTTTTTCCGACCTCATGGCCAGCAGGCCAGTGGAAGAGGGAGAAAATCCGGGGTGCATTGTTCACATGATACGATGTACAGTATCAAAGAGCAAATCGTTGCGCAATCCACCTCTCACCCTTGTCTCATCATATATTTGCATCATGAAATCGGCGATGTAAGCGATGAGTCCGCTAGACATTGAGTTCCAGGTTGTCAAAAAGCACGCCTCAGCCGATGAACTACAAATAAGATATTTTACCCAAACAAGAAACTGGTTGGTCCCACCTGTCTCTTAGTTGCACCAAGAGTGGAACCGTATCGCCAGCGGCCTTTTGAGCATTCTATGACATTTCTACAGTAACGTAGTAGTATACAATGGCATGGGTTTTACAATTGCTGATACTCATTAGTGTTGGAAAGAGTTAGAGAGGCTTTCAAAGCAGCGGAAAGTCAACGGCCCCGGCGTAGTGTCAACAGCTTGCACTTGTACTAATATGCGGCAATCCTACGCTAGGACTTCGCAGAAGAGAAAAAGCCCTTTTTCCCGTATTACCCTCTTCCCTGTCTATTCATTTTCTTTAATAGATATACGCCCATATTTTAATATGCGGGTAAAAGGAATATTATATCACTACACGATGGAAGGAATCTTTAGGATTTATGCTTCCCCCCATGGCAAGGTGCACTGCCAAGCTAGTATTATGCAGGTCCCCGGGTCCTTGTTGGATTTTAGGTCGTTTTAGTGTAATATCGATAACTTATTACGGTTCATGGCGTGGAAAAAAAAAACTGCCGATGAACAGACGCCGACAAAGCTGTCGCTGAGATATCCCGATTCTGTCAAATCTGACATACATCCGCCACGCTTGCCCGTATCCGTATTAAGCATACCCTAAGTATGAGCAGCAATACGCTCTGATGTCTGGTAAGACGTTGCGATTGATTAATTCACGCGAGTAGGTAATAGTCTATCTGTCACGTTTCTTGGTACGTTGTTAGCTCGGTGAAGCGATATCTTCATCGGTAGATAGGAGCTGAATGAAAGCAATTTCGGGATGCTTTGTCAGTCTGTGCGTTGTAGATAACGTCCTATTTATGATGCAATGCTTTGAACGAAGCCCATACTTGTATGATATTCTTGCAAATGATTCAACTGGGATCATTACACGATGCCCATGAATAGGTTGTACGACTTGGATATGGACGCAACCAATATATCGGGAGTTGTTTTCTCTCCCCAAAGTCACGCAATCCCAAAGTCGTATCTTGACCAAAGCCGCTCAACTCTCAAAGGCTCGGACATCTATGTGCCCCTTTGCAAAGCCGTCTCAAGTCTTCCAGAAACATGGCAGGAACTTGCTAGCCAGCATCCTGAAATTGCTTCTCTGGAGCATGGCCTTACTTATGCAAGATATTTTCCCACATGGCTCGAAACGGGAGAGACGTCGGGTTTGGAAGGTAACATGTCAGGGATTGTCACATTACCACTGTTGACAATCATTCATACTGTTCAATATGTTCAATACCTACAGCAAACCGGCATTGCACATGCCGATTTCCTACCCAGCCTCCGAGCAGGAGGCGCTCAGGGATTCTGCGCCGGGCTCATGGCGGCTATGATTGTTGCAGTGTCAAAAGACGAAACTGAACTCATAGCAAATGCTGCCAAAGCTATCCGAATCTCCTTTGTTATAGGGGCATTCGGCGAAATTGGTTGTGATCCAGCTTTGCTGGATTCCACTACTATGGTAGTACGGTTAAAATCTGGTTCCGAAGTAGAAGACATCACACGCAAGTTTCCAGAGGTAAGAATTACTCCTTTGAACCTGATTTATATGTACTAAAGGTGTGAAATAGTCCTACGTTTCTGCGATATCCGACTTTAAGACGATAAGTCTCATTGCTCCTTCATCAGAGATTGCCACAATCCGGGCGTATGTCGAAAAGCTGGGACTATCATCCAAAATGATTCACATGCGAAGCAATATACACAATCCGAAGAATAGAGCTCTTGCAGAGGAGCTATTGGGCTTCTGCCTCGGCAATGCAGACTTTCAGCTACCAAATAGTGATGATCTGCAAGTTCCCGTACGATCGAACAGAACAGGCCAAGTCCTCTCAAACTGTTCTCTCACAGCCGAAATTATAACTACCATTCTAACATCGTGTTGCGACTGGGATACTGTCATCAACAATCTGGCACACGATCTCCAACAGACGGGAAATCAGTCTCATCGTATAGCTATGATTGGCCTCGGAGACTGCATACCGCTTCCGCCGTTTCAGAAGCACGGCCTTGATATAACCAAGTTGGATATCATGTGCATCACTGAAGGCTTGAAAAAGCCTTTGAGGGATTATGGTGTATCATCGCTTGATCTTTTCCCTCCAAATTCAATCGCCGTGGTAGGCGCTGCTTGTCGCTTACCAGGAGCTAATACACTGGAAGAACTCTGGGAGCTCATTTCTCGAGGAGAATCCCGGCTTGAAAGTCTACGTGAGGATCGAGTAAAGCTAACGGAATCCTTCCGGGCATCACAAGATAAAGATTGGACTACAGGACGAAAATGGTTTGGCAACTTTGTCGATGGAATTGATGAGTTCGACCACAGCTTCTTTGGTATCAGTCCCAAAGAGGCAGCATACATGGACCCTCAACAACGCCTTCTCTTAAGCTGTGCCTATGAAGCAATAGATGCTAGCGGATATCTACATAACCATCGACGAGAAAATGGCGACCCAGTTGGTTGTTTCATTGGTGCGAGTTATACTGAGTATTGTGAGAATGTCACTGCATATGCTCCCTCAGCGTTCGCCGCCACCGGAACCATTCGCGCCTTTCTTTCTGGTAAGATTAGTTATCACTTTGGCTGGACTGGGCCTTCTGAGGTCATCGACACTGCATGCTCAGCCTCATTGGTGGCTATTCATCATGCCTGCCGAGCTATCCAGGCTGGTGACTGCCCAATGGCCCTTGCTGGTGGAGTCAACATCATCACCGGCATCCAAAACTACATTGATCTAGGACGAGCCGGATTTCTCAGCAAGTCTGGTCAATGCAAGCCGTTCGATGAGTCTGCAGATGGTTATTGTCGGGCAGACGGTGTAGGGCTGGTTGTTCTGAAACCACTCAGCCAGGCCGTTGCTGACAGGAATCATATCCTTGGCGTTATCCCTGCCTCGGCTACGAACCAAGGCGGACTATCTCATGGAATTACAGTACCGCATGGCGTTGCTCAGAAAGCACTCTATCGTCAAATAGTCAAAGCTGCGGGTATCGAACCCGAGCAAGTTACGTATGTAGAGTCTCATGGTACTGGGACTCAAGTGGGGGACCCCATTGAAGTCGCGAGCATTCGCGAAGTGTTTGGCGGACCATCTCGGCCATCTCCTGTGCACATTGGATCTCTCAAAGCCAATGTCGGCCATAGCGAAACTGCTGCTGGAGTTGCCAGCCTTCTCAAAGTTCTCGCCATGTTTGCTCATCGAAGCATTCCCCCACAGGCTGGGTTCAAAACATTGAACCCGAAGATCCCTGCTCTTGAGCCTGACAATCTAGGGATTGCAACAACGCTGATTCCATGGAAAGCGAAATCACGTATTGCTTGTGTAAACAGTTACGGTGCTTCAGGAAGCAATGCTGCTCTCATCTGCTCAGAATGGAATGCGGGGAGCGAGAAGCTAAAGATTAGTTCATCGTCGTCCTACCCAGTCTTCCTCAGTGCGAATACGCAAGAAGCTTTGAGAGCCAACGCCAGTCGATTGGCTTCATACATTCAAAATTCTGAACAAGGATTGAACATTGGCAGCGTTGCCTTTACTCTTAGCGAGCGCCGGAAACACCATCGAGTTCGGTGGTCTACCACTGCGCACAGTCTATCCGACCTAATGCATCAACTGAAATCAGATCTTGTAAATAGCGTTGAAATACCCAAAACAAGAAGACCGGTTGTTTTGGCCTTTTCGGGTCAATCGAAGACAAAGATCGGCCTTGATCCAAGTCTATGCGACATGTATCCAAGGTTCCGGGCTCATTTGGAGAGCTGCAATTATATCCTGCGGAATTTGGGCTACTCAGATATCATGTATTCTCTCTGCCAGTCTGAGGCCGTCACAGACGTGGTTGCGCTCCATGCAGGCACATTTGCTGTTCAATATGCTTGTGCGAGATGCTGGCTAGACGGCGGGTTACAGGTGGACGCAGTAATTGGCCATAGTCTCGGCGAACTCACAGCATTGGCCGTATCTGGCGTTCTCTCTTTGGAAGATGCTCTGCGTTTGGTCGCAAAACGAGCGTCTTTAATCAAGGAGAAATGGGGCCCCGACACAGGAGCAATGTTGGCTATTTATGCCGATTTGGAGATTGTACAGCGCATCATAGCGGACTCAGAGACGGAGTTTATAGACGACGGCGTCGAAATCGCATGTTACAATAGCCCCACCGCCCATATTGTCGCTGGGAAGAAATCGTCAATCGCTAGAGTTGAGAGAATAATTAACGACAGCCCTCAGTTCAACGGCATTCGGTATCAGGCTCTTGATGTTAGCCATGGCTTTCACTCTAGATTAACCGAGCCTTTGCTGCCAGATTTAATCGAGTTTGCAAAGACATTAACGTTTAACGAGCCTCGCATTCCTTTGGAGACTTCCACAAAGATGCCTGTTAGCGAGATAGCGCCTAGTTACATCGCTGAACACTCAAGACATGGCGTCTATTTCAGCCACGCCGTTCAACGGCTGGAAAGCCGGCTTGGGCCTTGCGTTTGGCTAGAGGCGGGATGGCATACCCCGGTTATCTCAATGACTAAAAAAGCACTTCAAAAGACCGAGTCTCATAGCTTCCAGTCGCTGAGCGGCTCGTCTTCTGCAGTCACCAACGTGGCAGCTAGCCTTTGGAAACAAGGGATTTCTGTGACTTGGTGGGGATTCTTCTCTCCTGAAGAATCGAAACTCCGCCATGTTTGGCTTCCACCGTGCACATTCGACAACTCTCGCCATTGGTTAGATCATGTAGATCGCGCAACCGAAATTCAGCGATCTCAGGCCCCAGTCCAGGGCACAAGTGGAGGAGTTACTCCTCAATCTACCCAACTAGTGAGCTTCGTCGGTAGGGTGGGCAGAGATGACGAATTCCGGCTGTATACTCAGACTGAAAAGTACAGAAACATGGTTACAGGCCATGCTCTACGCCAAAGGCCCCTGTGCCCCGCATCGATGTACATGGAATCCGCAGTGATGTGCGCCCAAGAGAGAGGGGCTGATTTTGAAGGACAGACGTTCCATTTCCGTAAGATTGGCTTTCACAGTGGTCTAGGCTGCGATGACCGCCGGGAAGTGAGAGTCATTTTGGGAGAGGACACAGGTGCCGATTCATGGCGATTTTCAGTTAACAGCACCGATAAGGAAGATCCAAAGTCTCTGAAGACAAAACACGCGGATGGACATTTCGAGGTATCAGTAAAGGCGCCAGATTACCGGATTTATGAGGCCTTGATACTGGAGCGCATGGAAAGCTTGCTCAAGGATCGCAATGCAGAGCATTTGATGAAGAGAACTGCGTATGCCTTATTTTCAAGAGTCATTGAGTATTCCGATCTGCTGAAGGGTATTTCGTCCATCACCCTGGCTCCCGGCCAGGCTGTGGCCGAAATAGAGGTCCCGGCAGAGACATTCGACAGCCGCGAAAGCACCGTTGATCGTTTTATGGATGCCATATCGCTGGATACGTTTATCCAGGTCCTAGGCTTACTGATCAACACCAGCGGGAAGAGTGCTGGCGATGAAGTCTTTGTTGCAACCAGTATAGCTAACATGACAATTCTGCCATGCGACTTTAAGAGCCATCGAAGGTGGGCTGTATACGCAATGTTTAGTATGGATGGAGATAAGCGAGCAGTCGGAGACGTTTTCGTCTTTTCTGGTGATAGAAAGCTCGTCGTCTTTGGGTCACAAATCTCCTTCATAAAAGTCCAATCCAGCGTACTGGAAGCACTTCTCGATGGCACCAGCCCGAGAGTGAACATGACCAAGGCCCGCAGTTCTGAGAGTAGAGTTGAACACATTCGATCTCCGGCCATTGCGAGAGAAGAACCTAGCACAACACAGACACTCGACCAGCGCACAATATTGGGCAATTCTTCTTCAAAGGAGTCACAGAGATCTGACCACAAGTTCGACGACGTCAAAGCTCTGATTGCCAGCTACGTCGGAATATCGGCATCCGATATTCACGAAGATGAAAGCTTCAGTAGTTTGGGTTTAGACTCACTTTCTGCTGTCGAGCTTGTAGACGAGCTACGGGTCAAGTTTGGCATTGATATATCTGCGGGTGATATCTTAACTGCTCAAGTGTCCGAGCTTCGAAATAGTCTTTTATCTAATGAGAGAAAATCGAGCGCGACAACAAATTCACACAGCACTATGGTGGGTGAGCTGCCAAAATCCACACATGGAGACAAGCTGTTAACAAATGGCCTCGCTGCTGAACATGAGGATAGGCATGAAAGTGTCAACGGATATGCCAACGGCAACGCTACCGAGTATACAGATTGCCATCTAACCGAAGCGCCAAAGCCTCGACATATCAGGCACCGGATTGAAACAGTGACTTATAAAGAGGTGGATGGTATCGAAATTGCAGCAGACATCTTCATACCGCTAGAGCCACCATTAGAGACCATGCCTATAGGTACATTCAACCACAAATCTGTCTATCATTATCGATGGGTTGCTAACTTTGCCACGTAATAGCATTGATGATTCATGGTGGCGGTCATCTAACACTCTCAAGAAAGGCTATAAGACCCGCGCAAACATCGTATCTACTTGCACATGGGATTTTGCCAATTAGTCTGGATTATCGACTATGTCCCCAGGTAAATATCATCGACGGGTCGATGACAGATGTTCGAGATGCCTATATCTGGGCAAGAAAGGATCTTCCCTTGCTCATGCAGGCTAGGGGTATCAAAGTTGATGCTTCAAAGATTGTGATTGTTGGTTGGTCCACTGGAGGACATTTGGCAATGACTACTGCTTGGACAACGCCAGCAGCTGGGTTGCCTCCTCCGTTAGGAATCCTTGCATTCTATTGTCCAACACATTATGACCCTTCAGGTATTTACCATAATCCCACCAACCTATCTGTTTCGCTTTTCTCTTACTAACATGACCCTAGATGACTCATTGAGAATGGGCAAAGAGTATCAGCCCCGTACCATGTCTATGAAGGAGATTCAAAACTCGCTGGGAGCTCAGGTGGTATGTAGTAATGATTAGTGGATATATTCATACACACGTCAATGCTTACACGTTCGCAGGTCACGAGCCACGCATTTAACAGCACTGATACGACGAACATGGGCTGGGTCAAACCTGGAGATCCCCGCTCTGAGCTTGTTCTGGCCCTCGTTAAAGAGAAAAACGGGGTAGCCCTGCTGTTAGATGGTATCCCCGCTGATGGAAATACACTGGGAGTCCCAGAGCCAGAGCGTGTTGCAGCTATCAGCCCTCTGGCTCATGTTCAAAAAGGCAACTATCATACACCGACCTTTGTCATCATTGGAGATGAGGATGAAATTGTTCCATTTCATACTTCAGTAAACTTTTTCAATGCGCTTAGAGAGCAAGGAATAAAGAATGGATTCATTCCGGTACCAGGTCAGCGCCACATTTACGACCTGCCGCTGAGTCCCGGAATGGCGAAATGGGATGATTGGGTGGCCCCAGGTTACAAGTTCTTGTTTGAGATACTGGGAATTGAAAGCAAATGAAGGGCTATTTGCAGAATTGGATATTTACGTTGTAATAATATTTTTCATTCTTCTTCAATATGATTGTCATTCGACTCACCATGACAGCAAGGTAGATGAAACTAAGTCGGTAGAGCAAAATGGAAATCCTCCCTGGGGCATTGCCATTTACGAACCATTGGCTGAGTATGGTCTGAACCAATTTTTTCAATACCGCTACAACCTTGTAGACGCAATAAGAAGGTCAGTAAATATGGTGTGATCATTATACCATTACTGATACATCTGGTCGACTGCTAGCAACTAATTAATCTTTATCATATATGACAACACGTGCTAGCATAGCAACATCGCTCTAGGCTCAGGGGGAATGATACAGTGGCACGCGCGCGGCTACAGTCTTGTACAACTGACGTGTATACGAGGAAGACGGGTCATTTTTCTCTGATCTGTCTATGTAGCTTATGTAAGTATTGTCTGCCACCGTTGCTTCTAACGAAATGTAAGCTAAGCGTTATGCGTGCTTCAGGTTGTGTCCCTGTCATATCCTATTCTGCTATATTCGCCGATCGATGACTTCCGTTTCGCTGTCGGCGACTTACTATAGCAGGGAAAGGGTTCCTTGTAAGTTGTGGAGTTGTTGTAACCTGACCGGGGGCCAATACATTAAGAAACTCACTGCCCCCACCATGGACGGGACAGCCTCCGCGGAATTGAAAAAAACGGACCCAACCGGCAGCTTAATCTCTAATCCAGGTAGCCTGCTTTCTTCCAGTACCGCACATATCCAGAGATGACATCCCTGTCTAAGGCTGTGAGTTGGCGAAGAGTTGCTGAGCCCTGGCGGCTAACGTCTGTTGCCATAACAACCGTACCCGAAGAGGCAGTTATGAAATAGAGCTTGAAGAACTCGTAAAGCTTTTTGACGGGATAGACATCGGCGTCTTTATCGTCGGTAGCCGCCACTTGCTCCAGCCAGTCATCATATGGAAGTGACTTTGTTATCCCAAGCTCGGCTCGGACAATTTCCAAGATCTCGCCCCATGTCTGTCTCACAGGGTTCTCCACGTGGTTGACCAGGCCGGGGGCTGCGGAGTTCAGGAGGAGCTCAGTTGTCACGGCAGCTGCATCATCAACCGGGATCCAAGAGACAGTCTGCGACACAAAGTTAGTGCTTACTTAAGAGTACTTATACGAGCAGGTACGAGAGAAAGGAAGAGAGAGAGAGAGAGAGAGAGACGTACCCCTTGTATCGTCGGTAATATACCCAGGCTTTGAGAAGTTCGAATAAGCATCGGGATCTGCTCGATGACATTCCAGGCACTAGTCTTGCGCGGCCCCGTCAACTGGCCGCATCGAGCAATAGATACCTCTAACGCATCGCTGTAGAGTAGCGATGCTTCTTCCAGCATCTTTTCACAGACTAGCTTTGCATCGGCGTATCCAACGCCACAAGCGGCGCTTTCCACGTTCAGGGGAGTTTCAGGGATGCTGTATCCTGGATCATCCAGGCCCAGTTTTGCAAGGACAGAAATCGACGATATGAATAAAAATCGGACCTTTTGCGGCGCCTCAACAGACAGCTGCAAGAGATTCTTCAAGTAGGCAAACTGATAGTCGAACGATGGCAGTCGCATGTGGAAGTTCATCGGCCACGCCGCGTGCAACACATGAGTGACCGTTTTCGAGACCATGGCGTAAACCATAGGTGGAAGCCCTAAGTTGTCTGCGGTCGGGTCGATTTCCAAGGCTGTAATCTTTGCCCACTCTGCATCGGTTAATTCTACACCCTTGGAAACAAGAAAAGCCTTGTCAATCTTAGATCCTCCAGGAACTGGGCTGATTACGCTGCCGGGGCGTTTCCTCAGTAGACAGACAACCTTGGCAACTTGAGGCGACTTTGCTAGCTCTGCCAACGCATAGGATCCTAGGCTGCCTGAACTGCCTGTCAATAGCACAACTGCTCCCTCAACAAGCTTGGCGGTGCCATCAGGATTGGCTGCCTCTGGAGTTCTGAGAGATTTGACGGAGTAACGTTGGGTAAAGCTTTCCACCTCTTTGGCAAAGGTAGCTCCACTCGTGCTCGACGAAGCATTCTGTCGAAGTGCATCTGCCATGAGCCTCACAGAGTAGTTGACATAGACGAAATCCCTTCTAATAACATCGGGCGACGTTTCTGTAGCCGCGGATAGAAGAATTCGTCGCAGTGTTGTAGCCTGCAGAGAATCTAGACCCAGAGTAAAGATATTGTCGTCGATCGTCCAAGCATCCGGCAACACCCGTAGCTTGAGCCTTTTCTGAATCAGCTCTTTCAGTTCTTGCTCTAGATTTGCGTAATTGAGCGGTGGTACATCAATAGCGCCATTGTCCAAGTCTTTGTAAACTTGGGTAATGTCTGCCTCGAGCAGCTTGAAAACCTCTTTGCGCGCAATGGATCCTTTGTCTGTTCTAGGAACCACGACGCTGGATGATAATACAATGATGGCGATAGGGGAGTAAATTCTAGCGGTGGCATCCATCCGCTCGCCCGCCTGGACAATAATGGGCCATATCTTGTTCTTAAACTCCTCTGTCTGATCATCAGCAATGGGATCTGTAGGCTCTACAATCACGCCGATCTCGAATTGGTTCTCTCCAAAGGCAATGGCCGACTTGACCAGTCCGGATTCCGTCAATGCAGTCTCCAGGAGTAGAGGGTTGACCTTTTCACCGTTCGCAAGAACCACCACGTCGTCGTCGCGGCCAACTGCAGCAAAGTCAGTTTCGGGGAATGCTTCGTTCCGAACCAGTTGATCGGCAATCTCGAATGGCTTCTCAGCGCCAAAGGGGAACACTGTCAGCCTGAACCGTCGTTCGCCTTCGTGGGGATCCAACTCTGAAACCTTGAATAGCATGTCTTTTCGTAATCTGAAATACTTCCAGTCGTATCCATCCTTAGGCGCAAATGTCTTCGTGAGGGGACCTGTCTCTGTCGTTCCATACAAATTTAGGAGTCGAATTCCTGCAGCTGCAGCAGAGGCTCCAAACGCGGCACTAAGAGCACTGCCTCCCGTTCCGACAAAATTCAATTTAGCCAGAGTCTTCAAACCCACCTCATTCGGGAGTGTAGCCATGTCCTCAAGAAGAAAAGGTACTGTCATCATGCCTGTTGCGCCAGAAGTGTTGACTAGGTCTACAATCGATTGAGCATCGGGAATACGATCAGATGCTGGGAAGCACACAGTCTTCCCAATCGACATGGAAAGCCCAGGAGCAAGTAGACCGAATCCATGGAAAAGAGGAAGGGTAGAGATGACAATTCCCTGCGCCTCTTCTTCTGTGTCGAAATCACCATGACTAACGGAGAACACTAGCTGTCGGTGAGTGAGAGCAATTGGCTTTGGAAGACCAGTGGTACCAGACGAATGCAACAGCAGAATGTTGGCATCAACATTGTCTGGATAAGCAGAGTCTCTCTTGATCCTCTTGTCTTCAGCCACGTCATAAAAGGAGCTGTATGGCTGACCGACATGAATATCGATGAGTTTGACACTCCCAAAGGCTCCCTTGGTGGCCTGTGCAATTCTCTGTGAGATGATAAGGGAAGACGCTTCGGTGCTTTTTAGGAGATGGAAGATAGCCTCAGGACTGAGGCGTGCGGAAAGGACGAGCGGCTAGAACAATTAGATCTTTGAGACATAACGATCAAGAAAGGGATGGGAAAAGGGGACGACAAACGGGAATACCCATGGACACAAGAGCAAACTGATGCACTATCAGGCCAAAGTCACTTTCCATGAGCAAAGCGACCGGCGGTCTGTCAACCAGACCATTCTTAGTTGCAACGGTCGGCAATTTGACGTTGTCTGCAATCCATTGAGCGCACTGGTCAACTGCAACCTTGAATTGTGCATTAGTGACGTTGATGAACGGTTCATTTGACCGAGCCTGAATGCAAAATAGGTGGTCGGGATTATGGACGGCATTAAAGTCAATCAACTCTGGCAAAGAGTGGACATAATCTTCTTTTCTCTCTGAAGAGAAGAAGTCAACTTTGGCTTTAACAAATGCACGCATTGCGTTCAGATTATAATTTTATGCTTTGGCTTAATAAATGAGTGTTTGTGATACAGGTATGCAATAATGGTTACTTCTTGGATTATATATGTTTTCATGGGACAACTGCCAGAAACATGATTCTAGTCACGTCAAAGCTCACATCTTTTTGAACTCCGTGCAAAATTAAAACCTATCAGCACTTACATGTTACTCTAGTTCAAACTAAAACAAAGTCCTCGTTTAACGACTCTAGTTATTATGCGTCTTCAGACATATGGCCAAGAAGTATAATCCGCCGCCTATAAAATGCTATCTACAAATCGGTAAATCTCACCGACGCATATATAAAATTAGTCTACTGAACAGCCGATGGTTCACTCCCTGGCTATTTGGGCTAAAGACCTTGAAGAGAAGCGATGTCACATTAATCGTTATGATCCAGTGTATGATTGCTACAATATACTTCATAGTGTATGGAAATTGTAGGACGGCGTCGAATTCCACTTCGACTACGTCAGTTAACGGCTGCGATGCCCTGGTTTTCTTTAAGACTTTTGTGAAGATTGTCATCTTCAGCGTTTCAAACCCGCCTCAATGCTGAATATGTAATCTCTAGGCAGCAGATATGAGGTGAGTTGGAGATTGTTTTGGTAAAATATTTGCCATAGATCAAGTTATGCTACTTTATGTTGACCCGCACATTGAGTTAGAATTCGCATTGTCGCTAGTCGTATATCTCTTCTATCGCTTTTTCGCTTTCATGCGGAGCGCGAGTAAAGAATTGACGAAACATGATACCAGTTGATACACAGCTGAGAAAACAAGAAGAGTAGGGTTGAAATTCACTAAGTGCTCTTTTTACTTCGAAAAAAAAAATGATCTTTTCTCTCTAGTTTTCCTTTCTCTATATACAATGATATACAAGGAGAAAAAAAAAAGTAAATATGCCGCCATAAAGCTAGCGTTCCCCGTAACCAAGATGGCATATCTTTATTTTCCCTAAGCTCGTACAAGACCAAGGCCTCCCTTCTTCAGGTTGGGAATAAATCCATTGATTGCGTCGGTTCCAAAGCTGTTGATGTTCATGGTATCCTCTGTTCTCATCATCTGTCTAGCCCGAATATGATCTACAACAGTTCGCTGTTGAGGAGAAAGGTCGACCTGGTACGCCGTGTCTGGATTCTGACCGAGCTTCTCCAGCATGCTTGAGCGATCTTCGGGTTTAACCGGCTCAAAGGCGTTGCTGCAAAACTCGAGTGTCTTTGAGAGTTCTGCCTGGCATAGCTTGCTATCCACATCTGCTGTCCCTTGAATCACTATGAGAGAGATTAGTATGCGAGATCTTTGCGTGAACATGAGGCAGGAGTTATTCACCAGGCCTGAAAAAGGCAAACGCGCGGTCAAAGTTGTCTTCATCGAAATCGCTTAGCACCGGCTCATTTTGAGCTCGAATCTGCCTATAGGCACTCAGGACTACCAGCAAGAAGCGGACGTAGCTATCGGCAACTTTCTTGGAATGCCAGTCGGCTGCATCTTCTTCGGAGCAATCTCCCCTGATTGAAGCCGCAATAGTAGTGGCTGCAGACAGGCCACCGACAAACGCCAAGTGAACGCCAGAAGAAAAGTATGGGTCGATGAAGCAGCCAGCATCTCCAGCGATTCGGGCATAGGGAATAGCGTAGCCTGAAGCGCTGTACGAATAATCCGAAGCAGATTTGATGTCTGTGATAAGCTCTCCATTCTCCATGAGCTTGCTGAGATCAGGCGCCAGCTCCTTGAGACAGTTTAAGTAAAATGTCTTGGAGTCAGGAGAGCCCATCTGCGACTTTCTCTCTGCAGACATCTTCTGATTCATGACGACGCCAACGGAGACAGTGCCGTTGTGCAATGGGATGAGCCACGCCCAGCCGCTTTCATCTTACTTGATAGTCAGTTATTGGAACTTCTCAAAATAAGACTGCGAGTACAAACCTTGCAATGCTTCAAAAAATGGGGAATTTTCTCTTGGTGTTCCCTTTCCATAGGCACCTGCGCCTTTCCAGTAACCCCAATTAGCAACATTCTTCAAACCTTGGTTGTATCTACGATTCTTCAAGTGTTTTGTGCTGAGCAATCCCACACGACCACTTGCGTCGACAATGTAGTCAAATTTGATCTCATGAGTAGTGTTGTCATCCTTGCGCAAGTAGGTTGCTGAAACAGGTCGGCCAGGATACTCGTGAGGCAGTTCACCTGAGCCCTTGTATGGAGCGTCAACGAAGTTAATCTTCTTGATTTGAACACCGTCAAATGCTTTCGCGCCGCTCTTTGCAGCGTGTTTGAACAGCAAGTGATCTGCTTCTGACCGAACTACGTTCCAAGCGTAATTTTCAGGGCCACCTGCAGCGAGGAAATCTGTATCTATATTGCGCACAGACAAGTCAGCATTCGATATCGGCGTCCAATGTGATGGTGATGCGTATATACTTACATCCTTCGCGCTTTCTTGGGTTCAGCTTGAAAGCTGCGCCAACCTGTAATTCAACAGGAGTGTTAGACCGAAATTCAACTTTCACTTTAGAGTCATCTGTTAGCTCAGGTAAAACTTACCTTCTTTGTAAATCCATAATTGTCAAACTCTGAGTCTACATCAATGAATCTGAGAAAGTGGCGCATCGATGCCAGCATACTCTCTCCAATATGGTATCTAGAACCGATTAGTGGCTTGTTCTAACTGTTTCTATATCTAGATAATCTTTCTGCTTCTTAAGAAATAGAGGGTTTGCCTACCGTGGAAACTTATCAGCCTCCAAGATGACCGTGTCAATGCCCTCCCTAGCCAAAGCCGAGGCAGCGTACGAACCAGCTGGGCCGCCGCCAACGACGAGAACCGTGCACTTTTCGGGAATCGCCATCTTTCTAGCAAATGTTGTTTACTCGTCTTGAAATTGAACAAGTCGGGATGGGCTTATTATTATTTCATGCATGCATACATTGTACATGACCAAATAGAATCTATTTGTAAACTTTTCATCGAATAACTACTATTTACGCGACAGCAAAAAGATCATACAAGTTATCGTGTGATATGAAATTATGCCCGATCAAGCAATAGAGACGTTGTGCAGGGATGAAAGCCTTGCTTATGTGGGATTACTCTTGTAAGTCAGGTACCCGCAACATGTCGGGATATTATGGAAAGCCAAGCAATATTTGTCGGCACGTAACAGACTAGATCAATACGCAAATCCTGATTCTAGTTAAAATTGGAAAAATCGCCGCAAACGTAGGCAGCTACGCCACAACAAATGAGACAATGGGGAGAAATTGGATTTCCTTATTGGTAGACACGATCGCCTTGGCTTAGATAGCGCATATTGCTCTCGTGTCATATAAGCACCGATGGACTGCTTCCTTTCGGCAATGCGTTGGGATGGAGCTGATCAAAGATACCATTATCTTAATGAAACAATTAGTTAATTGTAATAATTTAGTGAAAAACTGCGACTACCATTATTTATTTCCAAACCTGGCCTGGACATTACCAAGTAAAGCATCACTCTTCTCCCTCGTAGAAAACAGCTTAGTTATTGCTCCCCTTAAAAATATCGCTTCCGATACCGTGTTGCCGCAAACTCTTGCCGAAGCAATTGATTGATCCAATTCAGCGTGCGACTATCAAATATATATACACTATCCTACAATTGCAACCTCACGAGTGCCACTTGAGTCCCTCTATTGCACCACCAAATTTGGTGACAGTCTACAAACAATCACAATGGCTCCTGGAAAAGTCTCTTCCCCTCCTCCCTATTCACCTCCCACAAAAGGGCTCCTGTCGTATCTGCCAGCATCATGGGTCCCCTACGCCGAGCTCATTCGAATTGATAAACCGCATGGCATCTACATGATCTTATACCCATACATTCTGGGTACCCTATATGCGGCTAAGATTGCATCAGCTCCGCTGCCTTTACCTCTGGTCATTAATCGTATCATCCAACTTACGATATGGACCTTTTTTCTCCGAAGCGCTGGCTGTGCTTGGAACGACAACATCGACCAAGATTATGATAGACAGACGGCTCGGTGCAGAAACAGGCCGATAGCACGCGGCGCAATCTCAACTTTTCAAGGGCACGTTTATACCACTGCGCTGATCGCTCTCGGCTTCCTGTCCTTGCAAGAGTTTCCTTTCGAGTCCAAGGCGTCTGCTGCTGTAGCTGTCGTGTTGGCATGCATCTACCCTTTTGGAAAACGATTCACACATTTTGCCCAAGTTCCTCTGGGGGCAACGTTATCTTGCGCTATTGTTTTGGCACCCTATTCCGTGGGCGTGGATCCTCTCTCCGAAGCGAACATTCTTCCAACGGCTAGCCTTGTCGCCTGTATCATCATGCTTGTCATGTTCTACGATGTGGTTTATGCACGCGCAGATACGGCCGACGATTTGAAGTCCGGGGTTAAAGGCATGGCGGTTCTCTTCCGCAATTGGATGACAACGTTGCTTCTGTCTCTCATTACTGGGATCACAGCGCTTCTCTTCGTTGCAGGACAATCTACTAGAATGAGTGCCTTATTCTTCCAACTGTCTGTTACGGGCCCGGCTGTCTGCCTTCTCACCATGATTACTCTTCTATCTAATAACTCCAAGAGCTATGCGTGGTACGCCGGCAAGTGCTATGTTTTAGCTATTGCCAGCTTGCTAGGTGGTTTCGCTGTGGAATATTACAAGACACTCGTGTACTAAGGTAGGATAAGTGGCTGAATTGTAGAAAGACGATCATGATGGGATTGTATTATTAGACGCTTCCAGATATTAGAACGGATTCGGTGTGACAATGGGCCTTAGAAACTTGTTGACTGTACTACCAATATCGAGAAGAAAGCAAGAAGAAAATGAATAAAAATAAGCCATTATCAATGATCGCATCTTGACTGCCACTTCTCGTGAGCAGTTCTCATGGTACTCATTCTAATAAGCTTACCGATGCACCACGAATTGGAGAAAGGTCAAACTAATGATAATCTGATGTTTTTGACTAGACCGAAATTGCATTTATCAAGCATTCAAGCTAGCTATATATAACAAATAATTTACACCCCTAACTCAACCAAGCAATATCCTTTGCGGTAGGCCTTCTAAGAATATTAAGCAGATCACAATGTAAGCCCTTTTCAGTTAACAAGTAGTGCAGCCGAATAGCAGTCATAGGTGTTCCTCCAAGATCGAACAGCGTCAGATCAGGCGTGATCTCTGTCAAAGGTATTCCCAGCGCCTCAGAGAAAATGCCACAAACTTCGGCAATTCTACTCTTGAAAGTCGGCATAGCCAACAGGGGATTGATATGCTTAACAGCTTGGAACGAAGAAAGGATCTCAGCTGGTGCTAAGTCAGAGACAAGACCCTTGATTACTATAGGCATGTAGGAAATAATAGCTGCCATCTGCGAAGGAGAGATATTGGAAGCATCGTACTCGATTCCACAGTGCAATCCGTCCTGCTGTTCACTGAACTCCAGCTGCAGTGGGAACTTGGCTCCTCGGGCTCGGATAGGTTTGCTTGAGACTTGAGCTCCGGGTATCTTGAGAGAGTGCTCCAAGGCATCTGACTGCCAGTGATAAATCACCATGACATCAAAGAGAGACTTTTTATCTTTTGCCAACTGTAGAATCTCAGCGTAAGGTATCTGGTTTTCAGTTGCAAGATTGACCTCTGTTGTAATGTCATTAATGAGGCGCGTAGAGTCGGCCATGTTACTTTCATTGAAAGCAAAGCGCACTGGAAGTCGGTCAAGGAATAACCCCATTAAGCTCCCCGATCCAGGCTCGTCTCTACTCATATATGGAATACCGAGCGTAATATCGGTGTTACCGAACACCGCTGAAACTGTCAGTGCGGTTGTAGCCAGGGCTAGCCGTTGAGAAAAGCCCGCACTATCTGCGGTTGGTATAACGAAAGATTGGTAGCCGGGTATTTCGGTGTCAAGAACCTGAGTCTCAAGGCTATCAGAAAACTCAATAGATTGGATGCCCTCAACTCTGGTCTTCCAGAACTCGCGTTTAGCTGTTAATTCAGGCGTGGCAGGCAGCTTGCTATTTTGCTGAAGCCATTGAGTCCATTCAATATAGTTACCCTTGTGAGAACTTGCATCTCCATTCAGTTTATCGGTAGTGATACCATTAATTGCTGACTGGTACTCTTCACTGACTTCTTGCAGCAAAATGGCAAGTGAGGCTTTGTCTGTGATTATATGATGAGTGATGAGTGAAAGTGAAGTCGTCATTTTCGAATTCTCATCTTCCTGGCTCCAGATGACCACCCTGATCAGTTGATCGTTGGCTAGATCAAATGGCTTGTCAATCAGCGACTGTAATTCATTGGAATCTAACGCGCCTCCAGTGAAAAACAGCGGTTCAGTAACTTCGTCGCTGATCAAGCGGAACAATAGCCCATTTTCGAGGACATAGCGGGCTCGAAGAATGGGATGTTTCCGGATCACGGAGACCACAGCCTGCTTAAGCAATGTAGCGTCCACATCGCCTTCAATGATGAACTGAAATGCGGTGTTGAGAAGAGATTTAGTGGTTGTCACGGTATGCCAGACATATAACTCTTCTTCCAACTCTGATGGTGCTTGGGGTGCAGCCAGACTCGTTGGGGTAGATAGGTTGGATAAGAAGGATCTGAAAGTGGTGAGTCCATCTTCTAGATCTCCTTGAGATTTGTATCCATCAATGGCTTGCGCGAGGCCGGATAAGACTCTTTCTCTGATCAAGAGTGGCATGGGGATGTGATAGCCAATAGACTCAGAGATCAACCGAGCTGCCTTAATAGCCAATAGAGAGTTTCCGCCAATAGCCAAAAAGTCATCGTCTCTCGTAATGCGTACTTTACTATCGTCTTCAAAGTTGAGAATTTGGCTCCAGACTTCTGCAATGATCTTCTCAGTCGGTGTCGATGGAGCATCTCCCTGGTCTTTATACTCGGTAGCCAACAACTGAAGTGCTTTCCGGTCAATCTTGAGGTTTGATGACTGCGGCAGAGACTCAAACGCCATCACTTGAGCAGGACAAGCATAAGCCGGTAGCAATGTCTTCAGTTTCCGAGAAACTGCCGAAGTATCAACAGTGCTTGGTGTAATAAAGGCAACAATGCGGATACCGTCAACGACAATGGCAGCGGCACGTTGTATGGCGGAATCAGCTCGTACCAGAGCTCTTTCAATCTCCTCCATTTCGATTCGGAACCCTCGCACTTTCACTTGATTGTCAATGCGACCCATATAGGCGACCTTCATGTCTTCTGTCCAACAACCCAAGTCTCCGGTCTTATACATAAATTTGCCAGGAGAAAAAGGGTTTGGCAAAAACGCGGCCTTGGTTTGGTTAGGCAGATTCCGGTATCCACGTGTCATTTGCTCTCCAGAAAGATAGATCTCTCCGGTAATTCCTGGAGGAACAAGACACTGATGGTGGTCCAGAAGGTAAAGATCCAAATGAGGGACGGCTTTACCGATGGTTACTTTGTCACCAGGAAGAAGCTCAGTTCCAGTTGAGATAGGAGCGCACTATTCACAAAAAGTTAGTTGAACCACAACTTTATCTCATGAAAGCGATTGAAAGCTCGTATGGCATTGATATTCTTACCTCACTTGGTCCGTAAAAGTTGAATAGGCGCTTGTGTGACCACGCATCAGCAAGACTTTGAGGCACAGCTTCTCCAGCAAGACCAATAGTGTCAAGATTTGGATACTCTTCCGGCGACAAAGCTGCCAGAAGCGAAGGGGTAGAATGCGCTGCGTCAACACGCTTAAGATGACCCAGCGGATCATTAGGGTCCTTTAAGACCAGTGTACCGCCATAGCAAATTGTACCAAAGATTTCAACCAGAACCACGTCAAAACCTATTTTACAAGAGGAAAAGAAACACTCGATCAGCCAATTGATCTTTCATACTAACAAGTTCATCTTTGCTATGCAAAACTCACCTAGAGCGTAGACTTGGCCATTGCGACGACCAGGCCCGGAGAAGAGACGAGTGGGCTCATGGTCGATAACCATGAGAAGACTGTGATTATGCAACGCAACACCTACATCACGCAGTTAGCCCTGATGCACCAATTACCCGCAAGTGGCTTGTCGTATCTAATGGAGTTCATACCTTTCGGGATGCCGGTGCTTCCTGAGGTGAAAACAAGGTAGATGACGTCCTTTGGCTTTGAGATGGTCTCGAGTTGTTGGGGCTCAGCCTTGCAGGACGCAACAAACTCCTCCGAGACTATGATGTGCTTCTCTGATGTGTTCTGGATTACTCGTGCACAGTTTTCATTCGCAGCAATATAAACCGAAGCGCCACTCTGTTCGGTGATGATTTTGATGCGTGCTTCTGGTAGATTAACATCAATGGCACAACAAATGCAGCCTGCTTTAAGCACTGCTAAGATTGCCACAACCCAGTGAAGAGAGCCATCGGTGAGAATGCCAACAACGCTCCCTGGCTTCGTGATAGATCGCAGATGGTTAGCCAACTTGTTGGCAGCCTCGTCTAGTTCCCGATAAGTCATTGAACCGCGCGTCGACTCCAGAGCTCGCAAATCTGGCCATTTCGCTGCAGAAGCCTCAAAGGCGTCTTTGATGGTGTCATAACCTTGATAGTTGCCAACTCGGCCTCGTGGCGGATTCAATAAGCCATGTCTTTCTTCACCTGTAATAATCTTATCGCGAACATCCTGGATCAGAGTATTCTTGTTATCCAGTAGCCCTTGTATCGCACTCTTGAAGTGGCTTAAAAGGCCAGTGATACTCCGCTCAGTATATCGCAAGCCATCATATAGAATACGGGCGCGAAGGCTGCCATCGTCTTCTGCTTCAAGTAGCAAAGAGATGCCAAACTCCATCATGTCTTCGCGTTCGATGCTCCAGGGCTCTGGGAGTGCCTCACAAGTTCCTCCCAGAGTCGGCAGATCGTATTCCATGACCACAATGGTCTGGAGTGCATTGGCTATTCTATCTGCTGGCAATTTAGCCACAGTCTTATCAGAAGACCATTGGAACTCCAGCATCTTTAGAAGCTGGCTCTGTGTAGCTGAAAGCATTTCCGCAACAGTCTGTTCCTCCTGAAACTCCAATGGGAATGGCAATGTGTTCAGGAGTGGTCCAGCTACTCGATCGACATTCATTGTATCAATGTTTCTTCCGGAAAAGACCGCGCCAAATGCCACCCGATCAGTGAAGCTGTAGTTTGACAGCACCAGGCCCCATGCTGCGTAGATCATTGTTGCCGGTGTAATTCTCCGAAGACGTGCTTTAGTTTCCAAACCCTCTGGTGTGAAGCCAAGGTTCACTTGGAGGCTTTTGGACCAATCAGCGGCCGGTGTATCAGCGGGAGGCCTTGGTAGAGTCAGCTGTGGCTGCGTTAAACTATCCTCCAGGAGCGCATCCCAAAATGCGTTGCCTTGGGCATCTTCCTGCAGCCGCGCTTGAGTATTGGCAATGTTAATGAACTGTGGAGGATCCGGGAGAGATTTTCCATCCAAGGCCAGTCGAAGCTCGTCTAATATCACACTGAACGACCATCCATCTGCTATACTATGGTGTACAAGGGATAAGAGCGTAGAGCCGACGTTAGGAACAGTGATGAGTCGGTAAGCAGAGATGGGCACGAATGTATCTCCGTGCTCAATGTACGAGATTTTCTTGCGCATCTCCTGGGAACGGGCCTGGATAACGCTCTGCAGCTGATCTTTTGTGGTCTCTTCATTGCTCCAGTCAAGGTTAAGCTCTGGATGCACCTCTTGTAACTGATCTTTCAGATTAAATGTGGTGCGGAAAATTGAGTGCCGCTCAATGACGCGGCGCCATGCAGACTGGAATCTGCTTCCACTCAGCGATTTTCCTGTATGAGGTAGAGAGATTCGTAGTAACATATAATTCACAGTAGGATTTCGAAGTCCTGCTTGAATCATCTTGGCTTGGAGGGTTGACAGGGGCCCTGACGTAGGAGTCTGCGCTTGATCCTCTGCATATCCTTCTTCCTCGTCAAGTTTTTCAATCGCATCATGAATGGCAGCTAGATCCGGGAGATCAAAGAGCATGCTGAGTCGCAGATGGAAACCTTTTGTTCGTAAAAAAGATAATACTTTCAGTCCTGCTAGTGAGTTTCCACCCAGTTCTGCAAAGGAACTGTTATCTGTTATGTCTGATAGAGGAATTGACGTAGCAAAGGAGAGCGCGGCTTTCAATACATCCATCTTTGAACCGGTATCAGAAATGCCTTGCAATGAACCACCATCCACCGCTTGCGAGCTTTCAGCGTCCAACAATCCTTGCAGAGCTCGATTGTCCGCTTTGCCGTTGGGAGTAAGAGGCAGGAATTCTACTGTGCGAATCAAATCTGGTATAATAAAGGCGTCGTATTCCTGAGACAGGGTCTTTCTCAAAGCAACGCCATCAACGGTTTCAGGCGTCACAAACGCCACTAGCCGGCCGCGATACATGAAAGCCGTAGCCGCCATGACATTGGGGCTGTTGCTGAGCATGGGAATCACCTGGGCATCAAGGTTTATAAGAAATCCACGGTTCTTGACAAAGCTGTCTTTTCGACCAGCGAATTCCAGTCCGTGGTCTGTGAATCGGCCAAAGTCTCCAGTTCGATAGATTCTTTCGCCTTGCCAGAACACAAACTTTTCGGCTGTGAGCGCTTCATTTTCGTAATAACCTCTGGCCAAGCCTGGGCCGGTTAAGCAGATTTCTCCGTAATCAGACTCGGTTTCTCCATCAAGCAACAATATACGTCCATTCGACATTGGACGTCCCAGAGTAATAGGCTTATCTGCATGGAGGCGTGCCACGAGCGAAGCAATGGTAGTTTCTGTTGGCCCATAGAAATTGTAGATGGCAGAGGTCGGCAAAGTTTCTGCCCATTTGCGAACCAACGCGATGGGCGGCGCTTCTCCACCAAGCACAATAGTCCGCAGCTTGGAACAAGTTGTAGGATCTTGTATCGTTTGTAGGACAGATGGTGTGCACGCTATAATAGTACAAAGCGTCACAGTATGCAAGAAATCAGACGTGGTTGCAATTCTCAGCTCAGCACCATTGCAGAGAGTCGACATAATGGCCCCAGTAGCAGCGTCGAAAGCAGGCGAGAATATGAGCATGACAGTGTCGTCGGGTGTTGCGTTCAGATTAAAGGGAGTCTCCTCTCCGCCTTGCTGCACATAGTTCAAAAGTGCGCTGTGCGGAATCATGACGCCTTTTGGCGTAGAGGTTGTGCCTGAAGTGAAAATAATGTAGGCCAGATCAGCAGACTGGATTTTTTTCCACGGGCGGTCCTCATTCCTTTGCCAGTGTCGCGATATGTCTGACGCAAAGGCTGCCTCAATCTGGGTATGCGAAACCTCTTCATATTCAGGATATTCGTCTGTGCAAGTGTTTAAAACAACTCGGGCGGATACTCGCTTCAATGTTGACTGGATTCGATCTTCGCTCCAAGATTCTATATCAATAGGGATATAGGAGGCACCAGCCTTAAGAACGCCCAAGAAGCAGGCTACCATTTCCGGGCCTCTCTGCGCCAGAACAGGAATTTTATCTCCATGTTTAACCTGCTTCTCGGACAAAAGCCATGCAATATGAGTTGCTGCGTTATCAAGCTCTGAGTATGTGACTGTTCTGTTTCCAAACGAGATGGCAATGTGGTTTGGCTGCCTCTGTGCCCACTGCTCGACAAGATCACATACTGTTGTAGGGTTCGTGATTGCTTGATCAGTGGAACCCGCCATCTTGTCTGTTGGTTCAGTGTGACTTCAGAAAGAACCAGGAAAGTACTAAAATGAAAGACAACGACAGAGTCGTGTAAATGGAGAATGGGATTGCAGGTCAGAAAGAATATATCGGTTATCTACAATACAAGCACGAGTCACAAAGCAATACAGTCAATTATAGAACACCCCGTGGACAACTATGAGTTCCATATCCATATTTTACCGATAATAAGTCAGCCATATTGGGCTTACTCGAAGCTAGCTGCCGCATTTAAATTGCCCAGGAGCCAATTCGCTAGTGCTGTGCCATAATCGAAATCATGAAATACCGCATCGTGCATGCCAGACTCCCGATCCAGTTACTTTATTTTATCATTAACAGGGTTATTATTATTTTTATTACTTGTATAGCCAAATAGTGTATTGTACTTAGAAATGTATCCTATTTACAATTATCTTTCATCGTAGACATGACTGTTTTCAACATTCACACCGTGGTCAAGCTACTCTATCGGCGAGTTACCTCTTCTAGTAACACTTTCGGCGACTATTCCGCAGGCTTCCCGTCTTACACGATGGCGCCATTACTATACTGGCTGTACTTTGTACGTACTATACCTCATCCGCAATACGGCCTCATTCCTCTTTTGTAACTGAATACGACATGGCAACAACCAACAGCAACCAGCCTCCCTTTCGTTTCTCCATCCTATTTTTCCCGTCTTCCATTTATCTGTTTTGCTTGAAGTCTGGATGAGAAGCCACATCCTCTGCAGCTGCATTGTGCAACTACGCCCTCAGGCCAGAGCAAGCAAAAATGTCAAAGGAAGAAACAGAAGGCTCTGTTCCACCAGAGGTTGTCACCACTGGTGAGAATATTGACTCTGAAGGTGGTAGTGACCCAGCAAAGCAAGAATGGAAAATCTCGAAGCGCACACTCTTCGTCTTCATTACCATTTGTGTCTTGACCCTCATGGTGGCTTTAGATAGCACATCCATTGGTGTGGCATTGCCTGTGAGTAGAGAACATTATACCGTAACCAAAGACAAACCTAGCTGACCATGAAATCCCATTCAACAGACAATTTCTAGGGCCCTTCACAGTTCCGGAATTGAGACATTTTGGGCTGGTACGGGATTTCTGCTATGCGCGACAGGTATGTCATTAGTTTTGGCTCCTCATCGTCTCCCAATTTGTGTATATACTGGACTGTGTAATTGACTTGTTCGATCGAGTACAGTTTTCCAACCAAACTTTGTTTCCTTTTCCAACATCTTTGGCCGTCGACCTGTCTTTATCATTGCCATCATCCTCTTCCTCATCGGGGCTATAGTTGCTGGTGTCTCAAAGAACGTTGGTCAGCTGCTGGTTGGCCGATGTATTCAAGGTATCGGAGGTGGTGGCATCTCAGCCATCACTGAGGTTCTCATTGCTGATTTAGTGCCTATGCGGTATCGAGGACAATATTACGGTCTGATGAATGCCATGTGGAGTGTGGGATCCGTGACTGGCCCCATTATTGGAGGCGCATTTGCTGGTGACGCATCATGGGTAAGGAACCATACAACTCATGCACTTTTTCTGCTCCTCGGATAGCTAAGATTGTTCTAGAGATGGATTTTTTACATCAATTTCCCTTTCATCGGCATTGGCATTTTCTGCGTCGTCGTCTTCATGAATCTTCACTTTGTCCCAACCTCTTTGGCCGAGAAGCTTCGTCGAATCGATTACATTGGCTCAGTCGTCTTCATCGCTAGCACAACGTCTTTCCTTATTCCGCTGACGTGGGGTGGTGTCCTGTACAGCTGGGATTCGTGGAGAACACTAGTCCCCTTGATTCTTGGTATCGCCGGCATTGCCCTATTCGTCGTTTACGAGGCATTCATCGCCCCAAATCCAATCATTCCGATCGAACTATTCAACAACCGTACAGCTGGAGTCTCGTATTTCAGCTCTGCACTCTCGGGCCTGCTTGTGTGGTGTATTGTCTATTACATGCCGTTGTATTTCCAGGCTGTGAAGGAATACACCCCCGTCTTGACTGGTGTATGTCTCTTCCCGCAGACTTTCACCGTGGCGCCTGCTGGTGCTTTCGCCGGTGCGCTTATTACAAAGACTGGCAGATACCGTTGGTCTACCTGGTCCGGTTGGGCTCTCGCAACTCTTGGTTTAGGTTTGCTCTGCATTCTAAAGCCAGGCACTAGCATACCTGGATGGATTTTCTTGAACTTGGTCTCGGGTATTGGTCTCGGATTCCTCTTCCCTTCAGTAGCTACAGCCATCCAGGCAGCCACCTCTCCAGAAAATGTTCCTATGGCTTTGGCCCTGTTCAGCTTCTTCCGATCGCTCGGTCAGGCTGTGGGAGTGGCCATTGGAGGAGTGGTCTTCCAGAATCGCATGGTTGCCAACCTGCGCCAATATCCTCATCTTGCGGCAAACGCAACCGCTTATGGTGCAGACGCAGCAGGTCTGGTTGACATCATCAAGGCAATGCCCGATGGTCAAGATAAGCACGATATCAAGGTTGCCTTTGTGGATAGTCTGCGTATTGTCTGGGCAGTGTGCTGTGCCCTGGCTGGAGTCGGCCTCCTGTTGAGTCTGCTCGTTCAAAAGTACGATATCAACCAGGAACTCAACGGCGATCAGGGAATCATCGAAAAGAATCATCCTCAACCCCCCAGAGACAACACGGAGGAGATCTAAGTCCCTTGAGATCGGAACCTAGACATAGCATCGCTTTATTTGATCGCAACTTCAACATTTCGACTCACTCAAAACAGTATTGAGCTGAGGTTTAGGCATGGGAATGGCGCAAATAGTTACTACTCGAGAAATCTTATATGATAGTAAACGGTACTTCGCTGTAATGGCGAGGGAAACGATTTCAACCGCGAGTATTGGAGGACTTGATAAATTTATTTACGCATATGTATAAATAGACTAATTTTTAATAATGCTATCTACTCTTAACTTCTCACTTAATTCTTTGTAGGCGCTGCTCGCTTGATAGCTTTTTCCATAAGTGCCACCGTCTCTTTGAAGACCAACTCCGGCTGCTCAATATGGGGGAAATGCGTATCGCCCTTGGCGTGAGTATAAGTGAACCATTCCGGGTGCTTTTGCTGAAAGTCTTGATGAAGCTTCGCATATTCTTCGCTACCAGGCTGACTGTAAACGTGGTGGACCAAAGGCGGGTCATTCAGTGCTTCAAGCCTCTTCAACGGAGAGCCCCAGGTTCTGTATGCTGCTTCAACCGTCCTGCCGGATCGAGCCCAGGTTTCGTAACCAAAGCCTCCAATAGCGGTAAGACACTGGTACTCAATATTTAGATTTTGGTTACCACCAAGCCAGCTCTTGAAGAAGGCTACGGTCGTCTGGCGCCAAGTATCTTTCCCCTGCAGGGCTTTCAGCGCTCCGTAGAACTGAGGAGAAGCGTCGACTGCTAGATGGTCCAGGATCAAGATTGCTAACAAGCGCTCACGGCCCGCTATCTCAGCCAAGTTCATTGCTGCCCAGTTTCCGTGGGACGCTGCAAGAACAATAAACTGATCGACGCCTAGCGTATCCAGCAGAGCCAGGGCATCCCGGGCATGGTCGTCGAACCCAAAGTCTTCGACGTTATCGCGGTTAGGTCCATGGCCTCTGAAGCAGATGCTAATAACACGATAATGCTCCATCAAATATGACGTGACATAGGAATATCCTCGGTGGTCGGAGTTCCATCCGGAGAAAGTGACTATCGCAGGCCCGTCATGGGCAAAGCCGTAGTCTGTAAATGCAATCTCCTGGCCATTGATGGTCTTGGTGTAAGGGAATGCATCTGCCAAAAAACGTGGCTGAGCCATAATGAAAAACAAGATAATTCGAGTTGTCCTTGGTAATAATTCTATAAGTTGCTTTCTAACTGTATCTTCTGATCATTGGTTTCGACGCCTTTAATAGGAGTTTATTCATAACTACTAACAGTTTTAGTAGTGGGAGGGGCCAAACAGACTTTCTACACTTCTTAATTCCGAGTTCTACTACGTTATTGCATGACAATGGGCTGATTAACTGCAGCAATAAGACAATGAAGATAACCGTGGATGCGTTCTAGTGCCCAGTACTTACCATACTTAGGCGCCGACAGCACTACAATATTCCCCGTAGTCTGAGACAATAAGCGCCGATTGCTATCTCTCCGGCTTCCTTTTGCGTCTTCCCCACATAGCTCTTGTCAGCAGTTAGCCCTACTATACTTGCAGCTTAGTACCCAGCAGCTCATAGAAAAGATATACCAAGCTAGTGTTTTCTATTGGCAATGTTTATGTATCGTCATGAAATAGATAATGACGAAAAAAAGAAAAAAGCTTATGCGTAGTATCCAAGTAAGTATACACAAAAAACACCATGTAAAACACTAAACCATGGCCTCAACGTATACAGAAAAGTAAAGTTGTTGTGATGTCTGTTGCAACCTAGTGGATAAATCCTTCTAGTTTCCAGTGGTAAATCAGCTTATTTTAATTTACACGTGGCTAACAGTATCAAATTCGCTTCAGCCCCTGCAGTAAGATACCCAGGCTTGTTCGGCGGGAAACATCAGTATTTGCAATGCGGTGTCTAGTGCTAGCTGACATTTGCAACATTGCTGTGACTGGGGTGTAAATTTTGAGCCGACAGGAATGCATGGATGGCGCACCCTTGCCATGTGGCTTACAGGCGTCTTCTCCTACGCTTCTAATAAAATCCCCAAGCTCAAATTTTTGCTCAACCTAGTTGTCTCATATTGTACTCTTAGAACTATGTGTTGAAGCGATTTTCCAAGTACATCACCATGATATTTCAACTCTACGAGTCATCTCCCGGCCTCCTGGCTGTGGGAGTTGTGTTATCGTTGGCTACGGTGGCCGTTCTCACTATTCGGATATGGGGTGACTTCGTTGGAAATGTTAGTATTCAATCAAATGAGGGCGAGCACTAAAACGAACATGATTATGCACCGCTATCTCTACCTACGGGGAATTGTCAGTAGCTAACACATGTTCATTAGGCCATCCTCAGCACGTTCAATGGCGGCGTGTTGTCAACGGGACGAGCGGCTCCGGGCCCCAAGTGGCAGTGGCCAAATGGCCAATTCGCAGACAAATTCCTCAATGGCGCTGCAAGATCGGAAGAATGGCGAAAATATGGACCAGTTTACAGAGTTTGGGCCGGTCCTAAGCCAGAAATGTAAGGCCGTGTTACTACTAGGAAAAATAAATGGAAGCTAATTGCAGATTAATCTTCGTGTATACAGAGTTCTCACAACTCCCGAAGATCTCAAAGTTTTCCATACAGACTCCGATAAACACACCAAGCCTTTGGACGGCAATTTTGGCTGGTTCTTTGACAAAGTTCTGGGACGTTGTGTTGGCCTACTTTCACTTGACGAATGGAAAAACATGCGACGAGTTGTCGATCCCTCATTTACTCACGGAGCTTCGGTCAAACGCATTAGTGTTACGGAGTCAGATGCCAGAGCCTTTGTGGAAAACTTGCACACCATTTCGAATGAGGGAGCCGAGATAGCAAAAACCAAAGGCCGGTTTACGGTCCCAGCCATGGCAGCATTCATGAAGTTTCCCTTCATTTTTACAGCCGAGGTTGTCTACGGCAATATGACCGAAGCTGAGAAAGAAGAACTCTGGGCGATTGCAGAGAAGCGCCAGGCACTGTTGCCTTTCTTTTTCAAGGGGAGCTTCTATCGTACTTCATACCTAAAATGGTTTGACCGACCTGCCTACAACCAGCTTCAGGAGTTTTTGGACTCTTGGGCCGAATTTAATACTCGTATGGCTAGATCTCGACGTGAACAAGGCCTTCCACTTCCAATTGTTACATACTGGGACGAGTATCTCCAAGGAAATATTACTCTAGAACAGGTAAGAGACTCGGCAAGACGTCCAAACTTCTGTCCCTTCAGAGAAAGAAGGAAATACAGTAAATACTGACCATCAACGCTTAGGTCACACACACTCTAGATGAAATGCTCTTTGCAAACCTCGATGTCACAACCCACGTTCTTACATGGGCTATCACTCTTGTTGCCGATCATGAGAATGTCAAAAAGGAGCTTCGAGAAGAAATTGAAGCCCACAAGGATAATCTTCAAGAGTATATCACCAACGTCAATACTCACCTGCACCGGTGTTACTATGAGTCCCTACGATTGAGGCCTATTGCAGGTAAGTAGCTCGCCCTTTTTGTTTCGCTTGACGGAAGTCGAAATGCTAGATCAGACTGACCCGGTTTACTTGCTTAGTCTTCAGCATCGGTGAGAGCGCTCCAAGTGTCAAAAATTTCCGTGGCATACACGTAAAGCCAAACGTAAGTGAAGGAGACATCCTAAAATGTCTTGACATGTATAAAGTTCTATATGCTTTTTCCGAAAGTAGTGCTAACATACGACGACAAAAAATAACAGACCATGGTGCTTGTGGACACTTACGCTATCAACGTTCGCAATCCGTTCTGGGGTCCCAACAGTGAAGAGTACGACCCTAATCGATTCAGGAACCTCAAATCAACAGACGTAAGTTTTCATATGTTTGATGTAGGTGGTGACACGCATTAACAAACGCTTTTTTTATCTAGCTACGATACAACCTCTTTGTATTTGGGTTCGGTTACAGAAAATGCTTAGGACAGTACTTGGCAGGACACATGGTGAAAGCTATCCTTGTCCACTTGTTCTCTCAGTACGACGTCAAGATCATTGACGGAAGGAAAGGAAAGGCTGACTACGACATTGACAAAACCACTTGGGTTCCCGTCGCGGATGTCACCGTCGAGCTAACCAAGCTGCAGTAATGGTTGAGGCAAGATTAAAATAGAGCGGCGAATCACTAGCTTTGCAATTTTGAAGTAGTTTCTTGGTAGATTTTCTCTCAAGATGATGGTAGAGCATTATCAATTGGCAATTTTCTAACCAATAACATGGACCAACTTCGCATCTTGAACTTTTCCCACAGAGCACTATCAGACTCGCCTAAAGTCACATTACAGCAGCTTCATACACTACTTTTCAGCCCACCCAGATGCATAGCTGGGATTGTCTCATATCATGAACTAAGAGTTAATATATTTTAGATCCTGTGGGATTCTGTTTTACCCGTTAATATCATCATGAATCATAAGAATACATCCCGCAAATTAGTAGCCTCGTAAACCTTCATTGCTCTTTTCTACCATAATACTTACACACAGGGCTCGGGTTGTTTTAAGACGACCCCAGTAGCGAAAATAAGCAAAGTCGCCGATGAAGGCCAGGGGTCATCCAACAAACAGAAAGCAGGCCATACTCTCTTCGGTTAGTGCTTTATGTGAGCGGTTACTTTCAATTCTCTCCGATTAACGATCATGTTTGTTCGTGCTTACTCTGTGCCTAAAGCTATACACTGGGGGCTTAGTGCGCTACTATAGCTCTTGGCAGGATGGTGTGTCTTCTATGGCATCCATGAATAGTTACAAGATATTTGAGTCTCTTTTTTTTTTTCTCTTTCCATGTTATATCTAGTTCACGATAGATGTCTACTGGAAGATAATACTACATTATTTCCAATTCCAATACCAATCTCCCAAAATTGCTATCGCAACTGCAACAATGCGTTTCCCTCCCCCACCACGAAGTGATATAGGTTAGCTTGTTTCCTGCAATAACACCCAACTGATTAGCCGCATGAACTAACACTGCTCAAGTATGGAACGGCCTCGCTGCGTTGACGACTGTCAATGGGCACGTCCAATCAACTTGGACCAATGAGACAGGCTGGTCTGAGCCAAAGTTTATCCCGGATCCATACCTTCGTGTTCACGGATTGGCACCTGTCTTCAACTATGGTTCGTTGAGACGTTGATCTATGTGTGTTAAATGATGTGATGGGCTAACAAGATGACATCCAGGCCAAGAGGCTTACGAAGGACTCAAAGGTAACAAGCCTCCCACTCATAACGCTATTGACGTTATGATTCAATAACATTTAGGATAAATTAGATATTAACACTTCAAACTTATGCAGCCTTTCGCACTCCTGATGACAAGGAGATCAACATTGTAAGACCTAATTTCCATGCCATCCGAATGCAGCATTCGGCATCATTAGTCTCCATCCCAGCGGTTCCCGAAGAACTTTTCATGCGATCTGTGCATCTCGCAGTAGCAAAGAACGCAGAATTCGTTCCACCAAACGGTGAAAATGGAATGCTGTACATTCGGCCCATTGTATTCGGTTCCGGGCCTCGTATCTTGCTCAGCCCGACTGATGAATACACCTTCTGCGTCTACGTTACCCCCGCGGCTGCTTACCATGGTATTCAACCGCTTGATGCTTTGATATTGGAAGATTTTGATCGAGCTGCGCCCCGAGGCACTGGATCTGGTAAGGTTGGGGGCAATTACGCTCCTGTGATGAAATGGGCCGACAAGGCTAAGAGCCAAGGCTATGCCCTCACGCTGCATCTTGATAGCCAAACAAGAAGCGAGATTGATGAGTTTTCCACATCTGGCTTTATCGGTGTCAAGATCAAAGATGGAAAGACTGTTATCGTGGTGCCTGATAGCTCAAGTGCCATCAACAGCGCCACATGCGATAGCATCCAACAGCTCGCCCTATCGTTTGATTGGCAAGTCGAACGCCGGCCTGTAAGTTTCCGCTGCTCAACCATGAAAGAGAGATGCGTAGTACTAACTGCTTCTTGCTTATGCAGGTCAAATACGAGGAACTATCCGAATTCTCAGAGGTCCTAGCTTGCGGAACTGCTGTAACCGTGGTTCCTGTCAAGTCGATTACCCGGGAAACTACGAATGAGAAGTTTGTCTATCAAGACGGGGCTGCAGCGCCTGGACCTGTCGCATCCAAGATCGCCAAGACTGTGGAAGACATCCAGAAAGGCAGGATTGAGGACAAGTTCGGCTGGCTTACAAGAGTCACTGCTGTGTAAATCATTACAACTGTACTATGAAAGGGCAAAATAGGGATATATAAGAATAGAAAGGGGTGAATAGCATTCTCTCATTGAGAGTCCAATATTGCATAAGTTACCACTGGTACTATTTTGAAGAATAAGTGAAGTATTTATAACAATGACAATCGCTCAAGGACATCGTACGCTAGTTTGCTCTCCAATCTACTTCAGGATTCACGGGGCGAAGGCATGTTAGGAAACTGTTTGATCATCTCATTGAGGCTTTTTAGTATAATAAAATAGTTGTAAGCATATGGGCAATATTACTTTTTATTTTTTGCTATCTGCTGCCAAGTCTAATCTCAGTTTCATTAATAGGGCCTCCATAATAGCGACCCATTCCCGTCAGCACTTGTGATATAGTCTCAATCTTAATTGCGTAACATAATAAAATTATAAGAAGTTGTCTATATCAGCCAGAGGCGCTCAATAAAATTGACTTTGCTATTGCTTCTTCTAGATAAACATTCTATTATAAAAGTAGTCTTAACCATAACCCAAAAGTAGTAGAAGTCCAAAAATGGAACGCATTGACGGCGCCCACACCATTGTCATATCCAATCGCCAAACTTCTCTCCCCATCTTTAAATCTCATCTTCTTTTAAGATGATCGCGGCTTAAAGCACACAACCGGGCCGTCCTTTCTGGCCGACACATGATCTCTGAATTTATACTCAATCGGCGTAATATCCTTCTCCTCCCATCCTGGTTCATTATCCGCTCTTCGGAGATCAAACTCCCAGAGCAACCGGGCAAAAGTGAGCATAATCTGCGCCAGTGCAAGAGGTTTCCCAACGCAGCTTCTAGATCCGATAGAGAAAGGCATATATGGCTGTCTCGCAGTATCTGCTCGGGCAGTTCCATCCTCGTTGACGGGTCGGAACCACCTTTCAGGGTCAAATTTGAGAGGCTCTTTGTAATAGCTGTCGTGGTGGTGAATACTGTAGATACCGACAGCAACATCTGTTCCCTCAGGTACGTAGGTTCCATCAATCAGGGCTCCACCGGTCTCAACTTCTCGCCAAAGAGCAGCACCGCCAGGAGGTGACATTCGAAGAGTTTCATCGATGACAGCACGCAAGTAGGCACAAGAGTTGAGCTTGGGCCCGAAAACAATTTCATCCAGTGACGAGAAAGTTGTACGAACTTCTTCAGCTGCCTTGCGGTAGGTACTTGATGATCCAGTCAGATAATGCGCTACCCCAGCCATGCTTGCCGATGTTGTGTCAGATCCTAAAGCAAATTTCAACATTAGATTCTCCTTCGTGCATATATAAGATACGATATAGAAACAGAATGCCTTACCAGCTACCACAAACAATGCAGTCTCAGTACTCAGTTCCTTAGGGCTAAGTTCGGCACCCGTATCAGGATCCTTGCAATCTTTCAAGAATGCAAAGATGTCTTTTCCATCCGAAAGACCAACATCTTGGAGTCTTTTCTTGAGAAGCTTTCGGAGAAATCCAACGAATTGATTTCGTCCTACGATAGATGCTGGAAAGAGATATTGATCCAAGTTGAACGAGGTGAGTTTTGATTCCTGTAAGAGCACTCCTAGTCGAACGTTTGACTCTTCAAGAGCGCCGATTGGATAACGATTCTCCGGATTTCGAATAGTGTCAAAATCAGAGCTAAATGAGACCGTGGTCATGGTATCAAATGCCAAGTAATTGACTGATCACAAAAAGATCAGTATGTACCACCGTCGGACTTGAGAATGGCTGAACTTACAATCCTTCGATATATCTCTGGGACTGGTCCAGCCTTTTTCGGTGGACTCATTGGCAGCACTACGCAAATGTTGACAAAATCTCTCCAAAACTGACTGAACTTTTGGCTCGAATCTGCGAAGACTGGTCTCAGAAAACGCCTGAGCAACAACGCGGCGCCTGCGAGCATGTTGCACCTTGTTACTGAGGGTAAGAGTATTGGGCGCCTGTTGAGCCAGCACCCTGTAGTTCTTGTACTTCTTGACCTTGGAACCATGACCATAAACATCTAAAACGATTATTAGCATGAAATAAGTCGCCATTGGCTATGCGAAAAGTATTACCGTAGAGCGCATTTACGTTGTTGATAAGCAGCCTGTTTGGGGCGTATCGAAGATATTCGCCTGTCTCATTGTTAGTTTTCCATGGGATGACAATTGCCCTAAATTCTTTACTTACCATATTTTTGATGGCAGCGATATATATCCAGATGGATGTCGCCTTTCCATGCATGGTAGGCAGAATAAAGGTTTGTGAACTTGGCAAGGAAGGGTCCTGGGTATTTCGCCAGAGGGTGAAAGAGTGCTCTATACACCAAGACATACAGTCCATAAAGTAGCTATTTTGCACAAACCGTTTGTCAGTACCGAACTTAACGAGAAGTATTCACATAAGGCAGATGAGAGATATGGACGCTAAGCTCTGTCTCACTTGCACATACCAAACTCGCTAACGAGGCTATTAACGGCCCGCCTATCTTTTTCACCCACAGCTGCAGAGCAGGCAAGTCTGCTGGGAAGTGCAGCGCTCCCAAATCGATGCCTTTGGAATCCATTGGATGCGTAATGCTTCCGCTGTAATTCCCACTAGTTTCCTATACTCGTAGAAGGAAATGGGAACGCAACTAAGTCTGAACCATTTTATTGCCTCCGCTAAACCCTTGATTCGAAATGCCCAGAGTTCAACATCTCACGACTATCTGATGATGCAAGCGGGAAGTTCAGTCTGGCGTCAGCAATACAATGCTCCGACAGCTCCCACGACCCACATATGGGGTATCTCGTAGGCTGTAAGCATCGGGGTTATAATTCTATTTCTATTATTGGAAGTAGTGAATGAATTGAGCAACTCCTCTGTTTCACTTAGACTACCTATATGCCGGTTCTTGTCGGCAGTAAGCCTTGAATTTGGAACAAACTGCTTATGTGGGTTGTGCGTCGGCGAGTTTCTTGGGTGCTTCCGACGGAGCCTATTTCGATCGTAGAGTCAAGAAATCGATCTAGACAGGCCTGGATATTACCCGCAATATTGGAAATAAGCATCAAACCGTTTTCAATACCCTGCTAGTAAGCGCGACTGCGTCCGGGGGTTAAGCGATCGATGGAATTATGTCGATGCTTTCATGGTTCAGCCGACGGTTTGGTGCTTCAGCCTCAGTCATGGGGATCTGGAAATAGTGAACAAGAAGAATTTACACGACGTTTAGTTGATTTAGCTTCATAGCACTTTCTATCTATATATGGCGTTTGAGAACCGAATTCTTTTTCTTCTCCTGTTTCAATCCAGCAATTCTTTCAACCAAGTCCCGGAGGTATCATACCGTGGTCACTCTTTTCCACCCCTGCATTTACATAGTCCTCAACGACACTTTTCTCCTTCAAGATGGGTAGCATTTCACAAGATACCGGGCTTAATGAGCACGCATCGTACGACTTCAACGCCACCATCAACAACAGCCATGTAAATGAACCGGCTGAGCCCATTGCCGTAGTTGGCATGGCCATGCGACTCCCCGGCCAAGTCCGCAGTGACGAAGAGTTCTGGAAGCTGCTCGTTGACAAACGAAGCGCCCTCTGTGACGTGCCAGATGATCGCTTCAATGTAGCGGCATTCTCTGATCCCACTGGTAGCAAGTCTGGGACGTTTAAGCCCTCCAAGGCATACTTTCTTCAAGATGTCGATATCAAGCAATTCGACACGTCGGTGTTCCCCCTTTCCAGGACTGAGCTGGAGAGGCTGGACCCCAACCAGAGGCAACTGCTAGAAGTTGCCTATGAGTGTATGGAAAACTCCGGAGCCACCTCATGGCGAGGCAGTAAGATTGGCTGCTATGTTGGTGTCTTTGGTGAAGATTGGGAGGACCTTAATGCAAAGGAGACGCAACACAGAGGAGGATACCGCGTCACAGGTTATTCGGACTTTGTGGTTGGTAACCGTATCTCGTATGAATTCGATCTACGTGGTCCTAGGTGAGTAAACACATCAAAATATGTCTTCTGGCTTGCATCTCAGAGCTAACAATACGGCAGCATGACCATTAAAACTGCTTGCTCTTCGTCTCTGGTTGGCTTGGATATGGCATGCCAAGCCATTCGAAAAGGAGACTGCGATGGCGCTTTAATTTGTGGCGTGTCACTCATTTTCTCGCCCACCATGTACATAGCCCTCAGTGATCAGGGCGTTCTTTCTCCAGGCGGCGTTTGCAAAACTTTTGATTCAGCTGCTGATGGCTACGGCCGTGGTGAGGCCGTTAATGCGGTTTACATCAAGAAGCTTAGCCAGGCGTTGAAGGATGGCGATGAGATTCGCGCAGTTATCCGCGGAACCAGCGTCAACACCGATGGCAGAACCAACGGTATGCTGACGCCTAGTCCTGTTGTTCAAGAAGCTTTGATCCGCCAGGCATACCGGCAGGCCGGTATTGAGGATCTGTCAGCGACTGCTTTCTTCGAGTGCCACGGAACTGGCACTCCAGTTGGTGACCCAATCGAAACAACCGCTGTTGCGAACTGTTTCGGTGAGAAGGGAATTCACATTACATCGGTTAAACCCAATGTTGGCCACTCGGAGGGTGCGGCAGGCATCACGAGTTTGATCAAGGCTATCCTGGCTATTGAGCATCGCCAGGTGCCGCCCAATATCCATTTTAATAACCCCAATCCTAATAGTGAGTCAAAGCGTATACTAACCCGAGGTTGGACGTATTACTAACAAGCATTCTTTTCTAGTTCCATTCAAAGAGGCCAAGCTCAAGGTGCCAGTTGATGTTGAAACCTGGCCGCAAGGCCGCGCCGAGCGTGTCAGTGTAAACTCGTTTGGTATTGGCGGTGTCAACGCCCACGTTGTTGTCGAGTCTCTGGAAGAGTATGGAAAATACAACACTCAGTACAGAAACGCCAAACGCGTTGCCGGTGTTGCCCCCGAAATCGATGCTCAAACTGGCGATGTCCAGCAGCTGCTCTTGTTATCATCAAATAGCGAGGCCGCACTTAAGCAGACTATTGAAGCCCACAAGACCTTTGCCGAAACCACAACCTCTTCGCTGAAAGATGTGGCATACACCCTTGCAAACCGCCGCGAGCACAAGAGCCATCGCGCTTTTGCGATTGCAGGCAAGTTCAACGACCAAACCTCGTTTGAGGTGTTTGGCCCGGAATCTACAGAAGCTGCACCACGAGTGGCTTGGATCTTCACTGGTCAGGGTGCCCAGTGGCCAGAAATGGGCGCTGAACTGATTGACTCGAATCCAATCTTCAGAAAGTCCATCAGGAGCCTCGACGCCTTCTTGGCTGGCCTGCCGACACCCCCTAGCTGGACAATTGAAGATGAGCTGCGCAAAGTCGCTGGAGACAGTCGCGTTTTGAGGGCAGAGTTTGGTCATCCTCTGTCTATTGCTGTGCAAATCGGTCTTGTTGATATCCTCCGCGCCTATGGTGTCAAGCCAGACTGGGTTCTAGGCCATTCTTCTGGTGAGATGGCAGCCGCATATGCCAGCGGTGCCATATCAGCAACGGCTGCTATGGCTGCTGCTACCTTCAGAGGCAGCACTTCGACTGATGAGCAGCCCGGTGGTAGACCGCGAGGCGCCATGGCAGCAATTGGTCTTGGTGCTCGCGAAGTAGAGCCTTACATGGAGCCTGGCGTTGTGGTTGCTTGTGAAAACAGCCACTGCAGCGTTACCTTGTCTGGAGACACTGACCAAGTTGCAAAGGTTGTAGAGAATGTCAAGGCAAACTGCCCTACTGTTCTCGCGCGCTTTCTCAAGGTTGAGAAGGCATTCCACTCGCCTCACATGAAGGAGTATGGTCCTTCATACGAGCAGCATTTGAAGCCATTCATTCAGAGCTTGGATCCTACTACGCCCTTTTATTCCTCTGTGACTGGTAAGAGACTCACTGGAGCTGGATCTCTCGATGCGCACTACTGGCGATCCAACATGGAACGCCCTGTGCTCTTCAACACAGCTTTGAGATCCGCTCTAAACGACCATGGCGATGAGCGTTTTGTCCTGATTGAAATTGGACCTCACCCTGCGCTCAAGGGCCCCCTGGGTCAGATTCTAAGAGACATCAACCGCAATGAAATCACGCAGGTTGCCACTCTTCAGAGAAACAAGATTTGCAGCAGCAGCATCCTGGAGACGGTTGGCAAGCTCTTCCAGCAAAACGTCAGCCTCAACTTCTCTACCATCTTCCCCGCTGGCAAGATTGTGCGAAACCTTCCGCGATACAGCTGGAAGCGCGACGTCTCTTACTGGGCCGAGCCGCGTGTGGCAAAGGAGTACAGATTCCGAGAATTTGCTCCTCACGATTTGCTCGGCACACGAGTTGCTGAGGTGTCCAACGAAAACTGCTGGCGCAACAAGCTCTCTTTGGAAGATGCTCCCTGGCTGCAAGGCCACGAGATTGACGGCGAAATTGTCTTCCCCGGTGCTGGATACATTTGCATGATTGGCGAGGCGATCCGCCAGATTTCTGGCGATGTAGCCTTCAGTCTCAAGAATGTGTCCATCACTGCTGGCCTCATTCTTGAGCACGGAAAGCTGCCTGAGGTTGTAACAAGACTTACTCCCCACAACGTAGAGTCTGATGAAACCTCAGTCTACTCGTTCCAGATTTCCTCCTACAACGGCGCCAGGTGGATCAAGCACTGTTCTGGTGAGGTTTGGGGCGGCGTTGACAACTCCGTTGTGCTGGAGACTGAGAAGCCGCAGACTCTACCCCGTGCAGTTGATGCGAGCGAGTGGTACGGTGTCCTGAACCGCATCGGCTTCAACTACCAGGGCGCCTTCCGAGGCATGCGTGACATCTCGTCTGAGACCGTCAAGAACGTAGCTGTGGCTGCTGTTCCCACGGATAAGAACGATCTCACCAAGTACGCAATCCACCCCGGTATCATTGATCAGTGTTTCCAATTGTTCACTGTCGCTGCGTACCGCGGCCTTGGAAGAAACTGCATCAATGTGGCTGTTCCTACTTTCATTGAGGAGATAGTTGTGCGTCCTGCTTCCAAGGATCTTGACGTGCAAGCCAGCATCCACACACTCGAGCGAGGATCTTTTGTGGGTGACTTGGTTGCACAGGCTGACGGGCAGCTCCTCTTGTCTCTCAAGGGCTTCAAGGCATCTGCTATGACAAGTGCGGCATCAGACGACGAGGCCCTTCCGCTTATCACTCAGTTCGAGTGGCGTCCACATGCCGACTTCATCAAGATGAAGGACTACATGCAGCCTCGAACATTCATTCCCAACGAGTGGCCAATGCTGGAGGAACTCATGCTTCTTAGCATTCTTGATCACCAGGAGAACATTAAGCTGGCGGACGATGCCGCCCCTCATCTAGTCAAGTTCTTCAAGTGGCAGCAGGACTATATTGCCACCTACCACGCTGGCAAGAACCCTTTCATTGCCAAGGAGATGCGACTTGAGGATCTCAGCAGGGAGCAAAAGGTTGCGCGAATTGATGCCCTCACAAAGGACCTCCTTCCCTCTCACTACGACGGATTTGCCATTGGTATCCACCGCTTGTTCAAGGAAGCAGAGAAGCTCTTCTCTGGCGAGACTCACGCCCTGCACGTCCTCATGCCAGATGATGTCCTAACTCGTCTGTATGCTAACGGTGACGAGCTTCTCTACGGCGATGCAATCCGAGCCCTTGGCCACACTAACCCTCGCCTGCGAGTCCTGGAAGTCGGTGCTGGTACTGGAGGAACTACATCAAAGGTCTTGGATGCTCTGACGACTTCGACTGGTCAGCGACTTTACAGCACTTATACCTATACCGATATCTCTGCTGGTTTCTTCTCTGCTGCCAAGGAGCGTTTTGGTGCCTTTGAGGGAATCGAGTATAAGACCTTTGACGTTACTAAGGATCCTACTGAGCAGCAGCTACAGAAGGGCTCTTATGATCTCGTCATTGGATACAACGTATGTTATCTCTCTGTGCATGTCTTTCACTAAACAATCACTGACTCTATCATAGGTTGTCCACGCTACTCCCAATTTGCAGGTTTCTCTTGGACATCTTCGAGAGTTGCTTCGCCCTAGTGGCCGAATCTTCCTCCAAGAACTCTGCCCAGATGCCAAATACATCAACTACATCATGGGTTACCTCTCCGGTTGGTGGCTTGGTGACGAGGATGACCGTGTTGATGAGCCTTACATCTCTCCCGCCCGTTGGGAGAAGGAGCTCATCGCTGCCGGCTTCAAGAACCCAGAGCATGTTCTCGACGGCATCGCCCCATACCACCAGAGCGCCGGTATCATGGCCAGTGTCGACATCAAGTCTAAATCACTGACCAAGGTCTCAGTGCTTGCCCATGATGCTAATGGACCGTATGTTCAAGATGTGAAGAGCGCTCTTGAGCTGCAAGGCCTCGGTGTCGACGTCTTTACCTTTGGCCAAGAGCTGCCTGCCCAGGATGTCATCTCCCTTCTCGATCTCCAAGCAGATACCGTTCACGAATTCACAGAGGAGTCATTCAAGACAATGATCAGCCATCTGCAAGATTTAAACGCCAAGATGGTGTGGGTTCTTGGCTCGGCCCAGGTCAAGTGCAGAGATCCCAAGGCCGCAATGTCCATTGGTCTTGCTCGAACGGCTCGCAACGAATTGTCAGCCAAACTCTTCACTCTCGAAGTGGAGCCAGCTGCGGCTGTTCAAGACGTCACAAAGGCCATTTCAGACATCCTTGTCCGAATCCAGCACCCCGAGTTGGATCCCGAGGACATGGATCCCGACTGGGAGTTTGCTCTGGTCGACGGCAAGGTTTTGGTGCCTCGATTGCACTGGCAGACCATGTCGGAGGCCTTTGACAACACAGTAGTAGCTGCAAACGTGTCTTCTTCCAAGTTCCTCACCGTCAAGACTCCAGGTCTGCTTCACACTATCGGATGGTCTGAAGAGACGAAGAAGCCACTTGCCGAGGGCGAGGTCCGCGTCAAGACCAAGGCAGTTGGACTCAACTTCAGAGTTAGTATTTTCCGCTTTTGCCATTTAATCATAAAAAGTTAGTGTGCTAATAGTGCTTTTAACTAGGACGTTCTTATTGCTCTCGGAGTTCTTGACAACAGCACCCGCGAAGTTGGTCTTGAAGGCTGCGGTATTGTTTCCGAAGTCGGCCCCGGGGTGTCAAAGGTTGCCGTTGGCGATCGTGTAATTTACATGTCCAGCGGATGCTTTACTACTGAGATTACTCTATCGCAGGTGCTCTGCGTCAAGATTGACGATGCTCTTACCTTTGAGCAAGGTGCCGGATTGCCCTGTGTCTATGCTACAGCCGCCATGGCACTGGACGACAAGGCGAACCTCAAGAAGGGCCAGGTTAGTCCAACTATTCCAATGTTACAATTGTCTTCCCTTCGACTAACACTTCATCTCACAGAGCATCCTCATTCACTCCGCCTGCGGTGGTGTTGGCCTGGCGGCTATTCAAATTGCTCAGATGCTGGGCGCAGAGGTTTACTGCACGGTCAGTAGCGAGGAGAAGATCAACTACCTGACAAACAACTTCAACATCCCTCGCTCCAACATCTTCAACTCCCGCGATTCCTCATTCCTCCACAATGTCATGCGCGCAACCAACGGCCGCGGTGTTGATGTCGTCTTGAACTCTCTCTCTGGTGATCTCCTCCACGCTTCCTGGAAGTGTGTTGCTGAGTTTGGCACCATGATCGAGATTGGCAAGCGTGATTTCCGCCGCCGAGCCAAGTTGGCCATGGAGGCCTTTGAGCAGAACCGCACCTTTGTTGGTCTGGATCTCTGGCAGGTCTCACAGCAACGCCCTGAGCAAGCTGCGGAGTAAGTGGCATCCAATAGGCCCTTTTATGTTATCATTTCAATAACTAATTTTGACTCTCTTCTAGATTATTGGAGCGTTGTGTTGGCTGGATCCGTGATGGAAAGATCAACGCTGGCGCCATTGCTAGGGCATTCAGCGCTGACCAAGTGCAGGATGCCTTCCGGTTCATGCAAGGAGGCCGCCACATTGGTAAGATTATTGTAACCATGCCAGATGACACTACTTCTTTGCAAGGCATCAAGACCCGTCCTCTGCCCAACCTGAGGTCTGACCGTAGTTACATCCTGGTCGGCGGTCTCGGCGGTCTCGGTCGGTCTTTGGCAACCTGGATGGCGGAGAATGGGGCAGGAGAGCTCATCTTCCTCTCTCGATCCGCACAACCAGGTCCTAAGCTGGACGGCTATGTTACCGAGCTCGCTTCTCAGGGTTGCTCTGTGCAGCTTGTAGCCGGTAGCGTCAGCGATATGGCTGATGTGCAGCGAACTGTCCAATCGGCAACGAAGCCCATCGCTGGTGTTATCAACTTGTCCATGGTGCTGAGGGATATCACTCTGCAGGACATGTCCTTCCAGGATTGGATGACGGCCGTTGCTCCCAAAGTCCAAGGCACGTGGAACCTTCACAATGCCATCTCATCTTCGCTCGACTTCTTCGTTCTCTGCTCTTCTTACAGTGGAATTGTTGGACAGTGGGGTCAGGCAAACTATGCTGCTGCCAACACCTTCTTGGATGCCTTTGTCCAGTACCGACATAGCAAGGGCCTTGCCGCATCAGTCATCGACATTGGTGTCATGGGCGAGGTCGGATTTGTCTCCAAGAACCGAGAGGTTCTCGACATGTTCCAGAAGTCTGGTATGCGCATTCTGAAGGAGAAGGATCTGCTGGATGCATTCAATTTGGCCATTCAGCGGTCAAAGGCCCCTGAGGCGCAGGGTGCCAATGGCGCTTACGACATTTCAAGCCAGATTCTTTTGGGTCTCGTCACTACTATTCCGGTGGCATCTCCCAACAGCAGAGTTGTATGGAAAAAGGACATCCGCATGAGCATCTACCACAACATCTCTGGAGCTGATGACTCTTCTTCCAAGGCAGAAACCGAGCAAGACAGTGTGTCCACTCTTTTGTCGGCAGCCGCCAACTCTCCTTCAATATTGGAAGAGGAAGAAACAACGTCCATCATTGCTCAAGCTATTGCTTCTTCGCTGGCCAATTTCCTTATCAGAGATGTGGACAGCATCAAGGCGGATCTCTCGCCCGAGAAGAACGGCGTTGATTCGCTGGTGGCCATGGAGCTGCGAAACTGGATTCGGCAAAAGTTTAACGTCGAGTCCAGTGTTATGATTATTGTGCAATCGCCATCTTTGAATGGCCTTGCGGAGCATATTCGTCTAGGATTAGTTGAGCGATTCTCACAGGCGTAAGGGAAAGATGAGGGAGTTTAGGACTGTATATGTAATTTATATTTTGTTTTTGTTTCACATTTATTAGTATATAACTTCATAGCTTGTATAAAGTTGACCGCAACATGTTATTATAAGACAGCGATTACTTTTAACCTCTCTCCTGGATACCCATTACTGACCACATTGGTTTTAAGATTATTGTAGCTTCAATGATGATACATGAGGGATAAAAAGATCGAAGATGAGACCGTTGAATGTTTACTGTCTTCATTCATCACAGCACGTTATGCTCATGAAGTTGTCCAGAACCAATAATGATATAATCTATCGTAATACCCCAATACCTACTCATTGCGCCATTCTATTTCCCAGCCACTCCAATAGAGATCAATTTCTAATACAGCAGTAAACCCTTTGTTTCTCAGTAAATCCAACTGTTGCAGTACTAATAGTAAGTCAACGTGGTATACCAGCGAGACGTAACCTCTTTCTTTCCCTTCCACATGATTCGTAGAGAATACTCCATGGCGTCAAGTGTTCTCAATCTTCAGCCCAAGGACTACGGATTAAATTCTCGTACATCCTCTACCCCACGCCGCTCCACGGGCCGCGTCCAGTCATCGTAGTACCATTCGAACTCGCGCAGTGATAGTTGATGCACAATCTTCTCACGGAGTTCCAAGTAGCTGATCGTGCCGTACGGATACGTGGGCTTCTCGTCGTCATCCGGGAACTCTGGTATAAGAACTCGGATGCCTTGATCGGTCCTTGTGTGCATCCGCGCGACTCGCTCCCACGCAGCGATGACTCGTTGTTCAGGGGCAATTTGGAGATCCGACAGCCATGTGATTGTGGGGGGTTCATCTCTCCGATTTTCGCGGCGGGTATATCTGAAGAACTCTACGAGATCCAGTCCCATACCGTCCCAGATCTCCATTATCTGGAGCTCAGGCATCCGAAGAGCAGCAAAAGCCGCGGCCTCGAATAGATCGAATCTATCGCGAAAACGGGACGTCAAGGCCAGCGTCTTGAGCCACAGCCACCGCGGCTGGTAGACTGAGCGGGGGATTTGCCCATCCTCAAAACCTGTTGCTTTGAGAAGCTCTTGCTGAAACTTTCCCTGAAGGTCTTCCACCCATTTAATAACGGATATACGCTGGAGCTCGGGGATAGAGAGACGCCCCATCAGGGCACACTCTACTGCGGGACGTGATGGGTCCAGATGCGGTCGATATTTCCGGCTACCTGGTTGCAAGAAGTCTTGGAAAAACGCAATCGCATCAACAGCGAAAGCCACGGACAGGTGTTCCTTATACGCGCTCTTGTCTGCCAGCATTAGACCGAATTCGCTCGGCAGTTTCCTCCAAGGCTTTCGTAGTACTTGGCCGCCGTAAAAGCCTTGGAAGATGGAAAGGCTCCTGACGCGATATGTCTCGAGTATCAGCATTTTATACCCATGCTCAAACGCTTGATTATAAGTCAGTATAAGCGAATTAAAGAAAATTTGGAAATGATAAAAATAAAAGAAAGAGAGCATACCTCTGCTGAAAGGGTTGGGATCTCGCGTGATTGGCTCAAAAACCAAGCTGCCAATGGTATCAAAGCTCCTGGCAATCTCGGCAACCGTTCCCGGATTGAAGCTTCGATAATACTGCCGACGGACGATCAATGCCTTGATGCAATTGACGCTTGGAAGGAACAAAGATCCCATGCTGTCGAGATCCAGTTTGATTTCCGCAAACATGCGCAGGTGTTCGATGTCTGTCATGTTGCCAACGGCCGCCTTGCAGACCTGTCCTCTGTCGAAATCCTTCCACAACTTGCGTTTCACGTAATCGTCAAATTCCTGAGACGTGCACTTTTCGTCAAGTTTGTGCGGATAGACATCCTTGTCCAAGGCGAAGACGTCGAAACGGTGCTTCATGTCGCTCGGGGAGTGGACGCTGAGCTCCAAGACAGGCCTGATATTATCCTCAGGACCAAGTCTACTCATGGAGTCACCTTGCCAGGAGCCAAGGATTTGCAGAAGCTGAAATAGAGCCTTTGTGAAGATTTGGTTGTTTCTTCGCTTCTGCTTGGGCGTCTCGGGAAGGCGGCACGTGGTGCAGCGATATCTTGGAAGCTCGATGCGCAGCCAGATATGCTGTACCATCCACTTCCTCTTTTGCACGATTCGGCCAAAATCAGCAACGCAGGAGTGGTTTAAGACGAGCCGGCGGAAGTTCCTGGGCTCAATGTATGTCTGCCATTCACGACATACTGCTGCGCAGGCGCCCAGGTTACGGCAAGCTGCGCCAGTCTGGAATACTTGATCCAGAATTATGTTCCGGATTTCCGGGGGGATGGAGTGCCAGTTCGCCATTGTGTTGAGAAACTGGAGTCGAGATGTAGGCAAGCTTGGAGTCAAGCTTGTAGTCGAGATGTGGTAGAGGTGTGGTCGAGATGCAGTCAAGATGTAATCAACTCGATGTCTTTTTGAAGTCCAGCTGTAATCCAGATGAAGTCCAGATATGGGAATTCAAGAAGGTCGAGTGATAGACGTTTGAAGATGTCTGATCAATAGATGGAGAATGTGTGTAAATGCTGAAGATGAAGATGCATTTATGATACGGCCAGGTAATTATTTACTTTCACAATCAAGCCTGCTGTTTACGTCTTTTCTTGCGTCCTTTATCTACTTTGACTTCTTCGTCATTAAAGTTTTGTAAGAGCTCATTGTAGAGTCTTTCTATGAAGTATATAGAGTTTTGGCTGTTGTTGGCGTTGTGTACATACGTATATCCCACGCGACGATAGCAGCCACCAAACAGAATTACGAATACATCCAACGAGCAGAGTGTCTGCGAAAGCTGCACTATCTCAGCCCAAAACCTTCCTAATGGCATTCAAAAGCGGATAATGAAGACTAAAGGGGACGAATAGAGTATACGCCTTGGAGACCTAGCCAGTTGGCATAGAAAGCTGTTTGGTCGAGTTTACGCAATACATGTACATTTCGGTCCAAACGCTACAGTCATATGAGATACCTACGCGTCCCGGGGGTGTTTCTGGACAGAGGTCCTGCAAGAGATACCCCTTCTGGAAGACCTAGGAAACATTTTAGTGCCTTTTATAAGGTCCTGAAAGACTTCCAGAGCACTTACCAGAGGTGATCCCCTACAGAACCTCTGTCCAGAAACACGCCGGGGGCGCGTAGGTATACATCTACAAACAAAACGTTTCGACAGTTGTCGGTGCGTAATGAGCTTCTTCTCTTTCTCTTTTCCTATTCATCTAGCAACTAAGGTTCTGTTCTTAGAACAAAAAGATGGGAAACGAGATGTCACCTATAGGGTGTGTATATACTCTTAGAAGCGCAAGGGGGGTTTGGTTAGGGTTGAACTTTTGGTAAGGGTAATAGTAAGAGTACCTATTTCTAGTAAGGGCTCTAGTCATAGTTTCCTATCCATGGATCAATCTCTATATGTAGGTAATAATTGTGTCAGTGCCCGATAATGGTTATCAGGCAACCACCAGTCACGATAGCTCTTCCATACATGTACCAAAAACACCACCTGAGCTGCTGCTACTAGTAGTATCTAGCTCCCTGCATTGGTCCATTGACATTGATCTAAGCAGCAGCTCTGGCGAGCATCATCGCACGACATTCAATTTGTTGACTCTTCTATGACCCTGAGAAATAGGTTGAGAGAGGGGCTTGAAAGGCTTGAGATAGATTTCCTATCTCTATGGCGACAATTAGTACAAAGCAAATAAACTTTGTGTGGTCCCAAGGCTTTCACGCGCTCCACAATCGACGTGTAAATACGTACTATCGAACAGCACTGTGCATCTGAATTTGCGAGTCACTTGTGGAGTATAGGACCTGTGCACTGAAATCGCTTTCTAATTATAGCTTTGCTCTTAGAGACGATAAGATAACAGTTGAAATGGTACATGAACACGTCGAGTCTTGCTCTTTACAAGTGTAGTTTCCGGTGCGCCCTTGCTTGTCTCTTTCTTGTTGAGTCCATGTTCTTCTTTTGCCCCCGAAAATATTTTTTTTTTCTAGAAGTGGGACGTTACTGGGATCCTAGACAAGCTGATAGCGATGCATGGGTGCATGGATGAGCCTACCAATGGGGCACAAAGGCTGTTGTTCCGAGGGCGAGCAGAGCACAGACTCAGGGGAACGCTGGCAGTCTCATCCAGCCCCTCTTATCAACCAGACGGCGCGCTCTAGCGGTGTTCTCTTTTGGAGCTCAGAAAGAGGCTTTAACCTTCTAGCAGAAGAATAGCAGAAAGCTTGGAGACTAAATGGAGGCTACTCCGCACCATTACGGAGCATAATCGTCCAAAACCGGAGAATCCATGGCCCGTTCAACACCACCAGCTGAGAAAATCGCGAGAAAATGTCACTGCACCCAAAACGGGCGTTGGCAGCCAATCCAATCCAGGTCCCTCACGATACTGCACACGCCAGATGAGATTTTCCGTCGAGTAGCGTCCTGTGGCGTTTGAATCGTCATGCTAGTGCTGCAGGTGCTGCAGCTATGGCGTCCCTTCATCTTCATCCATCCTTCCAGCGTGGGATGCCGCCAGTAAACGTCAAGAAAGACGTCAAGGAATCTTCAAACGGTCAGTACATGTACAACTACCGCTTACACGATGCATCGACCAGCACGGCCGCTAGCATGTACTCCTGTTTGAGCTCCTTTATCAAGTACCGGTACTCCTGCCAGGTTCAGCGTGCGCAGAGCGTGCACGGCCATGCCGCGTGCGAGGCCCTGTCCTCATTGGCCGCGGCAGCATCAACGGCGAGAGGCTCCCGGCATGCCACAGTAATTGCAGGACTCGCAAGGGCGCACGCGTAGGAGAAAGGCGACTGGTCCCTCCACTGCAATTTCACGAGCTTGATTATGTGGTTCCGGACGCCGCTGGAGCTTCCCGAACAGGCCTCTTCCAAAGCCCAAAAGCCAAGTCGATGACTTGCCTCCTGCATTAGTGGCCTCTGTCCAGCCAATGTAACCACTTATCTAGACCGGTGGAGTGGTCGAGCCCCTGTCGAATATTCGAGCCTTGGGATGGCGCCCCCTGGTTCATCCCCTTTCTTTGGGTGGATGTCGCTGTAGCCCGGCGTCCTAGTGGCCCCTCCCCGCGAGTCTCCGCTCTTTCTGGGAGTCGAGTTCGCAGACGATAGAGAAGGGCCAATGAGGAGCTTGTCTATACCGACAGACGCCGAAAAGAGAGATGCGCCATGAATCTGACTGGCAGCGGCGGTACCAGGAGGAATCTGCACGGGATATTAGTAGGTGCATGATGCCGTCGACGGCTCACCAGCAGCGCCAGAGATGGAGTGACACGTCGAGAAATCGACGCTTGACGCACTTTCTGATTGCATGCATCGGTCGGATCAGATGGACAGCAGGAATGGAGCTGAGTTCCGTTTAGAGGAGGCGTGTCTCTCCAGCAGAAGAGCGAGGCCGAAAGGGAGAGAGACTGGAGCCGGCAAATGGAAAATAGTTGAGGCGGGAAGCGGACCAGCGCTGGCCCAGGCACAGGGCCAGGTCCAGCAATAGCCAAAAGCTCCCCTGACGCCCCTGTATTATACAGGCACCGTCCGCTACAAGTCTCCAGCCGAAGCGCTAGCGGTGCCTGTCAATTCCCAGGCCCCCCTCAGCGGGCGAAAGTACCAGTACGCCGTCGCAGCAGAGGCCGGAGCACCACCAGCGCCTGTGCCCACCCATCGCGGCACGCCCAGCGCGCAAGCGGCCAGTACAAGTACATGAAGCTCGCTGCGTCCGCCATGTTGATCCCCTTTCTCTGCCCCTTTGGACCTCTGTTGACTCTCAGCGACTGCCCGTCCTTTTTTCTTCTCCCACGCTCCCTTTGTTCTTGTCTTGATTCCGTTCCTTTCTTCTTTTCAACTGCCGAACACCTGTTTTCTGCGTATCCAGCTCCGATTCTTCCCCGCAGAGAAACAGGATAGGTGCATATGTGATCTGCGCCCACGCCCACCCGAGGATCTTGAAATTCCAGTCGGCTGACCAGCATCTGCATTCGCTGTCGTCAGAGCAAAGTCATAACCCAGGCCTGACCTGTCCTATCAGAGCCAGCAGGAGCGCATACGCAAATACGCAAATCGCAAAAAAACGCCTCCCGGCCGCCACATCTACCGCGTTTCTTTTTTTGGAGCCCTTCTAAAAGAGCTTCGTTTGGCGTCGCGAACCGCTGGAGATTGCGCCGCAGACAGCATTTGTCGCCAACTCTTTCCTGTTGATTGTTGACAATCTCGCGATACGGCCTCAACCAGGTGCAACGTGCATTCTTGCGGTCAACGCATCGAATTCGTATCTGCAAGCACAGGCCTCGAGCCATCCTTTCGTTTCGAGCCGCGCCTCGTATTCTCGCTTTAAAACAGCACGGGCTGGTCTTAGAGTTACGCGCCAACAAACTCACTCCGATTCCCCCCTTTCCAACGCTCTTTTCTGCTTCCTTCGCACAACGCTGGGTGAAATCGCCCGCGACAGAAATTCATCATGGCCGCGTAAGTTGGCTCTCTTCCGCTCTGCGACTTCAGGGCATGGCGACAATTGCAATGGACAGCCGGGCTAATGGATTTGGTGACAGACTCGGATCTGCTTTTCGCACTTTCTGGCATACTATGACCAGCAATGACCGGCGTATGTTTTAGCTCACCCACTCAATGAGCGCATTTGCACTCATTTCTCTATTGACGGCCGTACATACTAATTGCGCCTTCTACCAGACTCCGATTTCGACTCACCGCAACGCACCGGTCGTCATGTTCCGCTCCAGAACGGCCGTAATATCATGACTGGCATCGCGACCGCCTCCGACTCCCGAGCCGACATCCATAGCCCATACTTTGACGATTCCCGAAACCCCTCCGCCCAAGGCTCACCCACCAACGGCAACCGAGGATACTCGCCAGGCCTCCGATCGCAGAACGTAAATAAGGATGGCTTCGAGGTCCAGTCGCCTGGTGACGTCGCCATGCAGTCATTTGAGAATGGAGTCCCTCCACCGCCTCCTGTTGCCCACTCCTGGAGACGTATCGATGCATGGGCCGAGGAAAACTACCCAGAGCTGTTTGATCAGCTATGTGAGGGTGCCACAAACAACGATCTGAACGACCTGGAGCATCAAATGGACTGCTCTCTGCCCCAGGATCTCCGCGAATCGCTCATGATTCACGACGGCCAGGAGCGAGGTGGAATGCCTACCGGTATTATCTTTGGCTCAATGTTGATGGACTGTGAAGAGATTCCCCAGGAGTGGGAGACGTGGCGACAAGTGAATCAGCAATTCATGTTGGACGCCGCCGCAAACAAGCCGCCCACCCCTGGCAGCGAGGCTTCTTCTTCCAAGCAGCGACCTGGCTCCTCTTCATCATCCAACGGCCCCGGCGAGTGGAGACAGAATCTCCTGGCCAAGCAGAGCTGTATTCCTCCGAATACCGTGCAAAAGGCATACGCACACTCCGGCTGGATTCCCCTGGTCCGTGATTGGGGTGGCAACAACTTGGCCGTTGACTTGGCTCCCGGCCCTGCTGGTCGCTACGGCCAGATTATCCTGTTTGGTCGCGACTACGACACCAAATACGTTGTCGCCCGTTCTTGGGCCGCCTTCCTCGCCTTGGTTGCTGACGATCTCAACAGCGGAAAGTGGTTCATCGATGAGGACAGCAACGAGCTCAAGCTACGGGAATTCAAGGATGCACGAGTTGAGCCTTCCTACTTCAACATCCTCCGATGGAGAATGGACCAGAAGCATGGACGACAAGCTGCCAAGCGACAGTCTCAGCGGCCTGTTTCCCGAGTCGCTTCCAAGAGCAACTCGCCCCTTGGCTCTCGATCTGCCTCGCCTTATGCCAATCCCCAGGATTCCAACGGTGATAGCCGCGGTCGATCCATGCAGCGCCTCCGCGACGGTTCCCCTCTTACTAGCCCTATGAGAAACGGTGTCGGCAAGCCTCCGGCCCCTTTCCTGAGCCGCGTGACAGAAGAGGCCACGATTGAGCTCACTGACGCGGTTATTGAGCCCAGCACTTTGGTCGACGTGGAGGATGAAGATGATTCACCACGAAACAGCCAAGAGGCAAAGCGTCCCACCGTAACGACTCTTGAGCGCTCAGAGTCGGATCTGGCCAAGGACAAGGGCAAGGAGGTTGAGTCCCCCAAGGCAAACGGCAAACACCCCGAGGTTATCATTGACGATACCATGAAAGAGATTGAGATTTAGAGGGAGTTTGTTTCTGTATAACGAGTCGAGACAAGACGAAGTAATGGCTGCGAGTTGATATCGCATACACCACGATGGCACGACTTGAAGATTCTGTAGACCGGGTTAATTACGAAGGCGGTCTCCGTTTACGCGTCAATAATCTACGTTTTTTTCTAAAAAAACAAAAAAGACTCCTTGGGCGTTGGTGGCGTTGTGGCGGCCGCTGGAGGCTTGCCATGAATAAGCATTTTGCTATTTTCTTTTATTACAATTTTCTTTGCTCTTCTCTTCCTTATTCTTTATCTCTTTTTTCATCTTCTTTGGAAGATGAGCAGCGCTTTGGAAGATTTGATAGCGATGGAGGAAGTTAGCATACAGACATTTATGCTCACTTTTACCCTCCTTTTTTTCTGGAGGAGCCGAGTATGCGATATGCAGGAAGCGTTGTAATTGCTGTGTATCATTATGAGAGCTTTATTCTGCATTGGACTGTACTGGTAATTAGAAGGATAAAATGGGACTTTTGCCATGTTTAGTTGAGGATGAATTGAAAACGATTAAAAATTTGAATAATGTGTTTTTTTTACTTCAAGTCGTAATGTTGCCTTAGCCAGGCACAGGCCAAGGCCAAAGGCACTTTCACACAAATAGCAAACAGCCAAACAAAGCTTTGCTCAATCACATGTTACTGCTCTCTACCTCCTCGGTAGAGTTAAGGCAGCTTTATGTACATGCTCCGTCAGCATTCAAGTACTTAGAGCAACTAGGTAGGGTGTATTACCTCGTAAGATTAGCCAGCAGGATTTGTTACAATCTGATAGGAATTAGTCCATTATTTGCTTATCTACTACTTAGAAGAGTCTCCAGCTCACTTGTAATATTAAGCATAAATAGAAGCGCATTGGCCAAGATTTTCAAGGTACCACGGTATCAGGTTGTGAATTTGTTAGACAGGCTGAAACTCTCAAAGTAAGCAGTGTACCGTCCAAGCTGCCTGCACACTAACTGATCCAAATCCCAAAAAGTACTAGAAAGTTGCTTTAGCCCTACGAAAGAGATGCAAGCTTCTGTAGCAAACCGTTTGCTAAAGATATTTTCTATGCCGATCTGCCCATCCAGCGCGTCTATCTATGGCTTATGCGCCAGATGCCTAACAGGGGAAAAGCCGTGAGCGATTCGGCCAATGAGACGAGGGCGGCTCGGGAAGCACGGACTAGGGGATAGCCGCTGGCGCTAACCCTATTTTGGTCGAGCTCTGTTTTCCTTTGCTGTATCTCCTCATTATTTTCACATATGTATACATTTAAGCTTGATTTCGGTTTCATTCTCTCTCTGTGGCATCATTAATTGGCTTGAAGTTTTACCATTTGGATGTCATTTTGTTTTAGGGAGTATGGTGTTGTGCTGCTGATATGAAGGCGTTATTGTCACAGCGTTGGGAGGCACAACACCACAGCCTCACCACCAAATGTCCTCTTCCAAGGCACAAAAGGGTTAACAAAAGCAAGGCTCCAGCCCGCCTTGGGTGATATCCCCAACAAGCAAGGCAGATAGAACAGCGCATACGGGCTAATTCTGCAACCGAAATAAGAAAATCCCCACGTCATACCAGTACTACATGTAGAGCCGCGGCTATTGGCCCGGTGCTGGCAAGCGCAGGCGCTTAGCCGTTCAGCAAGTGGAGCTGGCCAAGTTTCATGCCTGCACCAGGCGTGCTGTACGATGAAAATAGAACCAACGAGCCTATGAGATTAAGCGTTAACAGTTTTCTGTAGGAGGAGAATGGAAAACGCGTTAAGATGTGATGTATACATGCTGTTGGTCGTGGAAGTAACTTTGTGATTCCCGCGGTGCTACCGTTTCGGGATCTTTTTATATATCGGCCTTGTGTGTAACCTTTACTCCTCATCATCCTGCGCTGTTTTCTGTTCTTTCTGTTCCTTTTTTATTTCCTTTCTTTCTCTTCCTGTGTACCATATCTACATCCTCTTTTGTCTCATAACACTTATTGCACATCCCGCCGTAGCTGACCACGGCTTTCTTTTTGTCATGTTTGCTTTTGTGTAACCGAATTGAGATTGCACGGCTGTTCGCTTTTTTTTTTTTTTTTATTGTCTTTTGGCTTTGACCATAAAATGGCGTCACAATCTGAGCTTGAACCTCTTTCACCCAACGATTACGGCATTAGACGGCCGCTACAATCTCAGTTTTCACAAGGATCGAGTTCAGTTGGCGCGAACTCGTGGAGCTTCTGGCGTCGACATCCGAAGAAAACAGCACAATTACAACAAAATGATGGCAATGGTAATTATAAACTCAAAAGCCGCAGCGCGAAAAAAAGTAACCGAGGGTATTCCTTAGGATCGCGAAAGGGCTGGAAGCCGCTATCTATGGAACCTGCCATTCTAGTGCTGATAACATTATTGACTCTTCTCATCGCTGGTGCAGTTGAAGTGTTAGCACACCTCAGCCAATCCAGGGGCGGTCTTGCGCTATCACGAACCCAAGATGAGATTCCACAGTACGCGATGATCAGCTATCTCTATGTTCCCAACATCGTTGCTGTGTTGTACAGTCTCATATGGAGCTGGGTAGATCTCGATGTTAAGCGAATGCAGCCATGGTTTGAGCTATCCAAGCCTGAGGGAGCGACAGCCGAGAATTCCATGTTTCTTGATTACCCTTACGATTTCATTGCTACGGTTCCTGTCAAGGCTGCTAGAAGAAGGTAAGTGTCCATTTGCGTTTGTATGATGAGCTCATTATTTAACATTTTGAAAAGACATTGGCCAGTATTCTTTGCTGGAACAGTGACGGTAGTCATCTTTTGGCTCATCACTCCTCTCCAAAGTTCCATTATGGGAACCGGCTTTGTGAACAAGACAGAGCCGGCGATAATATCAACGAGATCATCCCTGGTTCCGCTCGCAAACCAGCCGGCGCTTTTGAACAACGAAATCCTCAACACAGGATTCGCCGTAGAGTGGCTTGGCCAATCTTTCCCCTCTTTCACGACCCCCGACTATGCAATACTTCCGTTCTATATCGATAATGACCCTGGCGCGTCTCAACAGCAGCTCAACTGGACGGCTGAGACAACAAAACTTTGGACTGAGCTTGAATGCCGGCCTGCAAACACCTACTGGAGCCCTACACTGGGGCGCACTTTTGACAACGGCCAGGGCTGTAATATCAGTGTCGTAATACAATTCACCTCAAACTTCTCCATGTATTATATTGGATATTATGACAGTCCTTTCGCGGACTGGAGCTTGTCAGAGAGCCCAGAGTGTCCCTCCTCAGCAAATGCGGAACATCAATTCCTCGCGATTTGGGCAGCAACAGATTACCCTACCGATGCTGAAGTCAATGTGACAGCTCTTTTCTGCCAGCCGTCTTATTATAAACAGCAAGTCATGGTCACAATTGTCACAGATGGCTATAAGCCGCAGAATGCCTCTGTTCAGCCCATATCACCTCCAGAAACTCTCACTGAGAGAGAATTCAACTCGACGTCTTTCGAGTTCCTGATCGCGATAGGAATGCCGAGGGAGACACCTTTGCTTATCAAGCGAGACTTTCCTTTTGAACAAGTCATGCAGTTAGGCCCTCGGCTAGATAAAGCAAACTTGACTATTAATTTTCCTAACATGGTTGGATATGCTCTTGCTGGCCGTAACGAGCCGGCAACTCCATATGGAGATCCGAATACTCTCCATGAGGCATTCAATCGCGCTCATAAATATCTCTTTGCTCTTGCTGTAAATCAATTGCTATCTAATGAGACAGATGTGGGTAACAGCACGGCCGTTTCTTCGTTTCAGCAGAGCGGCATCATTGTCAGCAGATTATATTCCGCCATTGTCGAAAGCCTCCTTCTCCTTGTGGCAATTTTTACCATCAGCCTTATGTGGTTTTGTCACAAGTCTACGAGCTACCTAAAAGCCAACCCATCTTCCATCTCAAGGCTCGTCGCTATATTCCGAAACGGGTCAGAAACAAACGAGCTATTTCGTCCTGTAGATCATGCAGATGAGAAATCGTTGGCGGAACTATTCCAGGGCGACAAATTCCGCCTTGCTCGGAACAGAAACAAGGATACCCAGAGCCTATACATAGAGAAGATTGATGATTCTGAACAACAGCACAGCGAGAAAAGGTTTGATAAGCCAACTGGCTATTATGCGCCTATTCGACCGACGGCTTTGCGGAGAGAAATGGGGCTGCTCTTTGGAGTAATACAAATTGGAGCTCTCATCGGCGTTTTTTATCTCAAAGCTCAAAATGATAAAGAAAATGGTAAGATTCAGCTCTTCATGTGCTGCTGCATCCCTTCGACTCATTGCGTTTCTAATCGTATCAGCAGGCCTTATTCGACCATCCACCAATTTTGAAGTGCTGCAAATTCTCGAAAACTATATTCCTACTGCGTTTGCTACCTTTTCTGAGCCCTTCTGGGTTCTACTCAATAGGTTCCTATGTCTTTTACAGCCATTTAAAACAATGTCAACAGGGCGAAGCGAACCCTCCAAGTCCATCGAAACAACATACACGGCACTCCCTCCTCAGTTGGTGATATGGAGAGCACTCCGAGCGCGACATCTCATGCTAGTCATGATATGCATGATTGCTTTGCTGTCGAATGTTCTCGCCGTAGGACTCGGTGCGCTCTTCAATGAGGATCTAACAACGGCCAACTACACGGCCACTTTCACTCCGAATGTCGCTCCACTGTTCGATAACCAATCTGTTTCTGGCTTAGAACAGTATGCGTACATAGCCATGTCGAACATCTCTACTGGAACGTCATTGCCGCCTTGGACAACACCTGATTACTTCTTCCAACCATATACTGTTAACAGCGGTAGCGAAAGCAATAGCAGCAGTACTTATCGCGTATCAACTCGCGGCTTCAGCGTCAACGCAAACTGCACTGCCGTGCCATCATCAAAAGTTGCAGTTAAATTTCCTCCCAAACTAGGAGACGATTGTATAGATGATGGCTCCTACTTTGTCGAGATCGCCAAAAAAGCAATCCGAACGAGCGAAACTACGAGACCCAGCGGACTATCGTCCATTGAATACAACGGTTCGAGGAACACTTCTTGTGGTAGAGCCATCACCTATGGCTGGGGTCGAACACCACAAGGCCGAGACATGAACGCCACTGTCGAAGCAAGCTTTACCTTTTGCCAGCCATATTTCCAAACGGCAATGTTCGACGTGCGTCATGATTCCATAGGCAACATATTGGCGTACGAACAAATGAGCGATATTTCTACGCACTTGGATGGCGACGACGGCGACGTACAGACAAAGAGAATGATTGCACAGATGAATGATATGCTTGGCATTGCTTCTTACATGCAATGGCATAATGACACGTTTACAAGAGACTGGATGAGTTACCTGGTGGTGATATCTCTCAATTCTAGAGATTTTCTGGACCCAAAAAAGCCACCGCCCGATCCTAATGACTTGTTACCGACAATCGAGAAACTATACCGACAGTTATTTGTCATTGTTCTCGGCGCCAACCTACAGCTCTTTGCACCTGGAGACCAAACCCTCTCATTAACAGGCCAGAAGCTGACAGACGAAACACGAATATTCGTAGACCAGAACGCATTCATTATAACTGTCACTATCCTAGGCCTCAATATCATCGCACTCGTCATCTTCTACTCCCGCGGTGTCATGGTTAATCTGCCCCGTGTACCAACCACGATTGGGTCGATCCTTGCATTCGTTTCCGCAAGCCACATTCTTCTTGATGATGACAGAGAGTCATCGTTGTCTGAAGATATCAAGGAAGCAAAGACATACAGTTTCGGGCGGTACATTGGAGTAGACCAGAAGGTGCATCTGGGGATAGACATGGATCCCCATGTTGCATTGGTTGATCCGGCGTCGTTGAAAGAGAAGAGGTCTTTTATATATAGGATACTTCCCAGTGGGTTGAGGAAGAGAAAAGAGATTGGGCCGGTGAGCGACAGCACGTGGCTATGAAGAAGTATTGCCAGAGCTACCTTTTACGATGCTGGTAGAACTCGATCATGATTGAATCATGGTGAACTAGGATATTTGACTGAGTTGATAAAAAAATCCTATAGCAATAAACCTTTCATATAGACATTTGGAATGAATGGAAAGAGCCGTTCACTTCACACAGTCCGTAAAATCAAGAAGAAAGAGAAACAGGAATGGTTTTCCTACAGCCTTTGGTTAAGCAAAGCTGAGAAGCAGATTTACAGGGCGTTGTTGACCAGAGAATGTCGCACTTGCAGCTTTGCTCTTATTGATAGGCCAAAAAGAAAACCCCAAATAAAGCTCAAAAACGGATCATCAAGCAATTACTAGTTACAGCAGAACCTCCGATCACATTCATAATGGAGATAACCTCCTTTTCATTATGCTTTCTATTGCCTTTTAATATATCCCAAGGTCGTTCTACTTACACAATACTCCAACAAAGCTATATACTCTCTTAATACTACAGTTTAATGTATATTGTACGAGCGAATATAAGTATAAAAAGTAATTCATCAAGATGATCTTTCTCAGTCACAGGTACAGCGAGAATATATTTTTCATGGTAATAACGCAAATGCTTATGTGCCCCGTATGTATTTTCCCAGGGTAATGTAATCTAAAATCTCGGTGATGTTACAACGAACAAGAAAGAGCGGTATAATACAAAAGTATGTACAACAAAAGAATGTCAATCCTCCCTTCAAGGGAATGGTTAAATGTCCACCACAATCCATCTCAAAATTGTTCAATAAAAAAGAGTGTAAAAAACTCAGTGTCGACGCCTAAAGGGTATTGCTCATGATGCTTAAGCACGCATGCGAACAGCGCGGCGCATCGACTTCTTGCCCCTCTTGGCAACCATTTTGAGGCTCTCAGCCTGGCCAGACTGGCACGAAGTACCATCAGCAACAGCCTGAGAAGCAGACCAGCTACCGCTAGCGCATCGCTGGAAGTGAGTTCCGTCAATGCAGTTCCACTGGCCTTCAGTAGGGCACGCTGTGCCGGCTGTGAAACCGCCGCTGGGGCTTAATCCTGAGCTAGCGTTGGAGCCGGAGCTAGGAGCTGGCGGAAGAGCAGCAGCAGCAGAGGAAGTAGGGGATGGAGCTGCCTGGGACTGAGCAGGGGGGCTCGCAACGGGAGCGGATGTGACAACAGGTTGGGAAGCGGCAGGTTGGGAAGCGGCAGGCTGAGAAGCTGCAGGTTGAGAAGCTGCAGGCTGGGTAGCAGCGGGCTGAGAAGCTGGTGGGCTAGTAATAAAGACACCGCCGGCGCTGGGAACATTGGCTTGAGTAGACTGGGCGGGAGAGCCGGTGGCAAGGCCAGTACAGTTTGCAGTACCTAAGGCACTGGGTGTGGCGCTGTTGAATCTGTCAAGGTCGTTTCCAGGGTTGAAGAATTTAAGATCAACGTTGGCCGCGACTGAGCAGTCTCCGCCGATGTTGGCTGTGAACATATCCGGAAGAGTGTTCAAGAAGTCCTTGGAGCCTGCTGATCCAGTGACAGTCAAAGGCGCACAATTCATGTACATCTCGCGGTTGCCAACCTTGTTGAACCAAGTCCAAGCCAGTGTGTAGTTGCCCGATTGCAATTCTTTAGGAATAGTGTAGTCATATGTGTAAGGATCCACGTTACTGGCATTGTCGCCTGGTAAATTGCCTGTTTGGTCCTTGGCAGGGCAGCCACCTTCGATGGACTTGATGACTTTCCAGACAGAGTTTTTGTCAGGCTTTGCATCAGTGGTAACAGAAACTTGGCATGAACCACCACCGTGAACAGCGGTGCCAATAAAAGCAAGTTTCTGAGTGCTGCCTTGGGCAAAGACATTACTAGGTATGTCGGTACCATAGTCATAGGTGACGCCTTGGACTGTGCCCACTTTGCAAGGAAAATTCGAGCCATCGGCCTGGAGAGGGGAGTTGTCCAGTACTCCGTTGTTAAACGGGACTGGGCTTGTAATCTTCATGTGGGCACTGGCGGCCGTAGCCAGGACAGCGACAGCGAAAAGTTTGGAGAACATTTTGAAGGAGAGTGATATCGGAGTCTTAATCGTACCGGACGAAAAAGTCTTCGGATGATACAGTGGTATGAATCGTCGTCAAGATGGGGAACAGGCTCAAAAGACTGAATAGTGATTGAGAATCTGAGAGTATTCGTGTTAGTTTATGATTCATATTCTTGACAAGAATGATTTCCAGTCCTTTTATCAGAACCAAGGGCCTGAGTTAAAGAAAAAGGGCAGAGAGAGGGAATGACACGGAGAGTGGTTTGCCGACTTACAGTGAAAGCTGCGAGAAGACGGTAAGCTTGTTGCAGTAACACAAGAAATCACAGATTCTTTAGTAGCAAGCAACCAGGCCAGCGTATGTAAGGAAAGTCTTGGAAAGGATGAGCAAAAAGAAAAAGAAGAAAACAAGGGCTAGCCTCGTGAAAGAATGAAGGAGAGTGAGTCTTGACGACGTTCACTTGAAGGAAGGACTGTTGACTGGTGATGTCTTGAAAACACAAAACAAACTACAGGCGAGGTTGGGGTAAGATGTCTATTATATAATGCGTTCCGCAGAGTGGCATGTTGAATGGAATCGGCTCAGCCGCCATTGCCCCTAGATCATGACTCGCTGCAAAGATACAGCTGCAGGAACAGAGAGAGGCAGGGGAGCCATTGGCGAAGCAGGGGCCCCGGTCCAAACAGGGACTTCATGCTTAATGGCACCCATGTTTCGCTCAAGAAACAAAGCCAGCTGGAAGAGTGAGCCCAGTAGAGTTCAACCGCGGGCTGGAAAACGGGTGTTTTCGAGGCACCGCGGATCACTAGTGTAGTGCACAAGTAGTGTGCCGAAGGGAGTGTCCTGGGAGTCTACTGATAGGCCAGAGTCGTTGTTTCAGAGTCTCGAAGAACGACCCAGAAATAGCGAACATGAGTGGACATCAGCCGAGAACCCCAGAATGCCAAGCAGGGCTAAGCCCAACCCCTGAGTAGCCTTGTTCCCTCTCTCTTTTTCATTCTCTCCTAGGAAGTTTGCCACTGTGAAGAGTGCCAGTGCTTGTCGGATATACGTTAGCAAAATTGACCTGGCCTGAACAAAGCCCTGTACACAATTGATCGCCATTCAAGAAATTTCGCGTTTTTTTTTTTTCAAAGTTCAACTAACATATGTTCACTAGTCGTTCATTATTTAAATTGAACATAGCCAGTGCGGCCACAGCCTGGAATGTACATTGAAACTGTGCCGTACACCAGTTAGACATTGTATGCCCTGTCTGTGCGCGGGTGTGCACTAAAGTCATGAAGAAAAAAGCTCGAGCAGCCCGGTGCCCAGTCACTTGGGCCATGGCGCCTACCTGCAGTATGGAGCTCTCTTTGAGGTGCGTGCTGCATGACAAGTAATCGCGACTCCAGGGGTCGCTTGACGTAGGTGCAGCGGTTGGTTAAGAAAGCTCGGCTTCCTATGCATACGAGTAGACTCAAATGCGGAGGGAGGCTCAGCACTCTAACGATCGGGCATTGTCGAGGTAGCACTGCTAAGGAGGCGGCCGCCAATGAGGTCGTTCCGACCCCTTGGGCATGAAGCCGGAGTCGAGGTTAGTCTATTGGTGAGATCCACAACTGTCATGGTCTTTTTGGTTCTTCGTCCATCATTGGCCACGGCTTGCCGAGCCTGTGCAAGGGAGGAGGAAGATCTTGTGCCACTGATTTTCCCGGCCTATTCAGAAAAGACGATATGATCTCCCTGCAGCTGCCAACAAAGGGGCAAGAAAATAAACAATCATGCGTCGCGTCGCTATACTGAATGGCAAAACGAACTCCATCTCTGCCACTACAGTTGTTTCTTCTATGATAATACTCTGGTGCCCAATTGCTCTGGCATTAGGCATTTACTTTGGTCAACCGGATTCAGTGAAGTGGTGGGTGGCAGGGGTATGATAGGCTATTGGTGCACTAACCGCTCGTGAGCTGACCAAACAGAGGAATGACGCTTGCTTCGTGAGAGATCCGTCACCACTCAAACATTTGCATTGCGCATATCATCGAGCAGCAGCTTGTATGCGAGCCGGAGATGCGGCACCAGGCTTTGCCGCCGAGGAGCCAGGCTCTGCAGGGATGATGCGAAGAAAAGGGCTACGCTTCAAGCATATCAACCATGGCTTTTATGAGCAGCGCAGCCATTGCCATGAGCATACAAGTACCAAGATGCTTGGGAGGGTGTGGGGGCTTACAGGCTTCCTCAAGAAACATTGTGATCGGCCACGGGCCGAAAATAATGGCTCGGTGGCACTATGGCCGTTTGCCTGTTTGCCTGTTTGCCTGTTCAATCTCGCAGACTGATGCTTGCTCATGGTTATACAAATAGGCCCTGTAGGCTCGTTCTCGCATACGGCGTATCAAACATGATAACAGCACTGGCACTCTTTACCTCCCCGAAGCTATCACAGCGGTCACAGCTGTCGTGTACCATTTGAAGGTCGTATTACGGACAGCACTGGATGAAGCAAAGGGGCAATCGCCACCTCGTCAACACCACGCGAGTCGTATCATGCCGTCAAAACTCACATGTCGATTTAGGCAATAACCAGCCAGCCACAAAAACTCGTAATGTATACGAGCAAGGGGCTCACTTTGTTCGTCTGTATCGCTTCTAGAGTGTGTGTGTGGCGAGGATCCTCCCTCTGTAAGATCCCCAATGCTACGCCAGTCCCTGGCTCTACAACCCCTGTTCGCTCGGCATGCAAGGGCAAGGGTGCTCTAAATCCCTAGTCTCCGTTCCGTGGGATGGATCGAGTTCTGGTGAAACAAAGGCTGGTTTCAAGATCAGCACCTGCTGGACGTCTTGCCCGCAAATTCACAGCCTATGGAAGGCTTGGGGCCGAGGGAGGCAAAGAGGATACGCACCAGCGACGCAAGGGACGACTGCGTCACAACGAGACACGCGTGCAGCTGAATCGCCAGTCAGCAGGGACAGAAGCCAATGGTGTTGAGGAGCATGCCATGCGTGTGCTGTGGCGGCGGCAGCAGCAGCGGCATCGCAGCCAGTCGCGGGCACCGCAGATGACTTGGCAAAGTTTTTGTTTGGATGATAGACGCGCCGGGGCTAACGATGGTTAACGCTGCAGGCCACAGAATGTGCAGAATCCCCTGATGAGTCCAGCTGACCGCCTTCCGCTCAGCGAGCGCGAAACGTGCAGGTGCCTGCATGCAGTCGCCTAAAGCATAGCCGCTGAAGATTTACCTATGAAAGGCCTCCCAAGCCAGCATGAAGCGGTGTATGATATTGACGGTATCGCCTACTTTGATCGCGCGTACAGACTCATGCGCATCAACTCATAGCCGCCGGGGGGGCCTCAGGCAGCTCGATCACTGGATACCAGGCCTTCGCATGCACTCCATCGACAACTTGGCGCTTCCATCGTGACTTTCCCTCTTCGGTATGTCGTAAGCCGTCGCATCTTTGGTGTTGGCATGCAGCCATCTAGACGCCATCACGACTCAGCACCGGGCGTGTACTCGCAAGTGGCTATGCCAATACAAGCTTCGTGGCCAAGGCAGATGAGATCTTCGCGATCAGGATAAGATGAAGGGGTTATTGATCTCTGCTGTCGGCAGCATCGGCGAATTACACGTAATTGATGGCATGAGCCTTTCCAAGGTCCGAACTCTCGGCCGCTGCATCTATCCACATACTAGACAAAAGATCTTGTTAGCAGAATAGCCAAGACGGCTTGTAATAAAATAGCAATTATCTAGTAACACTCGATACCGCAGCGGTACCATGTCCAAAAATATCTGCATTGATCTCTGTCAATGCCAGACACTCCTGGGCTTGGCATCGCTCTTCAACTGAAAGTGCACCACGTCCTTGTTTTACTACTGTGGAGTTTTTCTCATATGAGAGAAAATGATGTTTTCTTGGCAGACTTTCTAGCGCCGACATGGTGATAAATTGAATGCATTGATCTCCATTTCTACGCGGATATTCGCTTCAAGCTCGGCCAGCTCTCCACAGAGTACAACAACTACTAGGAGCTGACTTTGCGATCGGGAGCCATGCCGTGGACATTGCTTTTCTCGCTGAACCCTGTTTAATTTACCTTAAGCTTCAAATGCTCCGTTCCGCTAACAGTGTTACAGACACATTACTTCGGAACCCTTTCCGAAATTCACCTAAAATTTGCGGTGATTCTTTGACCTTCTCGTTTTGTCCATAGTGCTGGCTTCTCGCAAATTGCATCGCCGGGAGGACCACGTACAGTTAATGTATTCCCTGGCACTCTCTATGCGGCAATAAGCATATATTTAAGTAATTTAATGAATCACTGCTCTATAAAATTCTGATTGTCTAGATATATAGGCAATTACATGTGATGGCAGCGTGTCGTTGATTGTGGAGACTGCTCAATCATATGCACTGTTGGTCGAATTGCAATCCGAATTGTTGGTTCCGCTAAGTGCACGTTTGTCGACCGCGGTCGGGATAACAGGCCAGATTTCTAGCCTCTGTAGTCCGCGTGTCCACAAATAGATCCCGTTCTAGATACTACCATGTACCTAGTACTAATCATGAGCAGGACGGATGTTACTCTACCACGGTGCGCAACATCACAGAAGAGCTAGCTCTTTGGCTGAGAGAATGGGTGAAGCCTGACATCTATCGTTTTGTACTGCCTTGCCTTCAACACATGAGACGTCTATTTATGCATCATCTGCTGTCAACTACTCCAACAATACATGAGATCTAACAGCATACCAAAATCTATCTAGCTCCTGGAATCTATTACATGCGTTATACGTGTCGCCTCAGCATTCGCCAGTTAAGCGCCGACTGCATTCGTCGTCCGATTATCTGAAGTGAAAAGTCAGCGTACGCTTATCGCATGCACACATGAGCTCAGATATTACCATCAGGAAATACCCAGTCTCCTCGTGTCCATAGCTTCATTTTGTTTTGGCGGAACTCTTCAAAATCCCACTCGCGCTTTTCCAGCGCGTCGGGGTTCAGGAACACATAGACGGATGCCTCCTTGATCTCTCCGTCAACTTCCTTCTCGCCCTCCTTCTTCAGCAGCCTGACCTTGGTGTCAATCCGCTCATACTCATTTCCTTCAAAGATATCCAGCTTTTGTAAATTGGCCTCTGTCAGTCCAGTCGCGTACACGCCCCGCACGCAGTGACCGTCCTCGGCAATGATGGCTGGGTAGTCTTCGGACTGGACTCTGTGGCGACAGTAGCCATCTAGAATAGCAGGCGTAAACGTGTGAAGGTCTTGAATTACTTGTGGTGGCTGTCTATCACCATAGCAAACGCTAAAGAACACCTCGGGAGCCATCTGTGAAAATCAGTATGTGGTAAGCTGGCCCCGTGAGCCGCACATGAGGATCTCACCAGTGTCCCTGGGCATTGAAGAAAACAAAGCATTAGTCTGGTGCATCTTAAAAACGAAGATAGGGGATATACCATAGAAGAAAGCTTGGTTTTCGCCACTCATCTTGCTTGCGATGTCTCTTTGTTGCTTGTGTTATTTTTGGCAGTCTAGGTTAGGTTGTAAGCCTGGAAGAGGGCTGAGGTCGTGTCAGTAATCTCAGCTGGCATGAACCAGGGAGCGCAGGATTGTCAAGTGCAAAGTCGATAAATCTTTGGAATGGAGTTGGAGTATTAGGGTTTGGGAGAGTGTCACGATGATACTGCTTCGCTTTATGTGAGATTGCCGATACTTTTGGTTATCTCCTCGGTAGTATTACGAAACTTCCCCGCCAGGTGTAGTATCTCTGGTGGGGGGTTAAGCGCCTTCTCTTTGACGATATCGGCGCAAACAGAGTAGCAGCATACAGAACAATTCATTGGCAATCAAAGTCAGACGGAGTACAATAAAACTATATGCGAATTCACACTATCTATACAATAGATGTCATGAGATACCGAGCCCTCAGCGTTTCTAACTCTAGTGATTTATCAATACAGCGTGCCCATTTAAGACTATTATCGAATAGGTGCTACGTGCAGTGTCACTGATCAACACGTTATCGATAAGATAAGACTGCCCAGAGCTCCTTACGCTCACCCAGAGCTGGGGGAGTATGCATCGCTAGTGCGCGGAACATTATTATTGCGTCACCTAGCGCAATTGGTTTTGGTGACCGCGATGCCCAGTTTCGTTCAACTCCGGAAATTTCACGAGGCGTCGCATTCAGTAGATTCAACCTCCAAGGCTGCGGGCCGCAACAACTCCATACTTTTATCCGCCAACTCTCCCCATCCCATCTTCCCCAGCGACACACGGCCCTTCGATTTGGTTTTTTTTGCGAGAAAATCTTAGAGAGATTATACATCTTAATTTGCTACTTTACTCTGCTCAACGCCACCTTCGTCAACCTCTTCGCGGCGCGTTCCCATCCCCCCACAGCCTTGCTGCGATTTCTCGATTTAGGCATCGCCTCGCCATCCCTTCCTCGGATGGAAGGCAGAGCTGCGTCTCACGGACGCCGATAATGCAGCCATGTCGGGAACCACTATTGACGATGTCGTGAAGCGACTTAGCACCCCGGAATTAGGTACGACGGCCTCATTTTCAGCCTTACTCGCTCTTCGTCTTCTCCTCGTCATCGCATGCTGCTGTGGTGAGTGCGGCTGCTAATCTCTTGTTGATCAACAGATGCTCGGCTTAAGGTGGAAGCGGCAACCACCTTGCGCGACAGCCTGGACGCTTACACCAATGGCCCCATCTACGAACCCTTCTTGAAACGGCTGATGCCCATCTTCATAAACATCTTACGAGGGCCATGCATCTTTCAGAGCAGCTCTCCGGAGCAGGTAATGCGATTGTAGAATGCGTCTGGGAATTTTTTTTACTGATAGAGAGAAACAGAAACTCCGCAACTGCATCCTCGAGGTGCTGCACCGGCTGCCAACCGCCATGTCCCCCACCGAACCGTTCAAACCATATGCCGAAGAAATTGTCGATTTGCTCATGCAGCTGGTTCGCATCGACAACGAAGACAATGCCACACTATGCGTCAAAATCACATCCGATATCATGCGCCACCAACATCAAGTTTTGCAGAACAAGGTCCAGCCTTTCCTCTCGTTGATCCAGGAGCTCTTCGATCAGATGGAAAAAGTTGTCAAGGAACAATTAGATAATGCGTCGCTCGCTCCAAATCCACAACCCGGTGCACCGTCAACACCGGGCAGCACACACGCCAATTTCCAGTCTCCTCGACCAGGCTCTCCTGCAGCTTCAGTGCCGGAACTGGGTGCCGATCCCCAGCAACAGAACCGACCGCTTCTTAAAGGAATGCAATCTTTCAAAGTCCTTTCGGAGTGTCCCATCATCGTCGTTTCGATTTTTCAGATATATCGCAGCACAGTTCAGGTCAACGTGCCCAAATTCGTTCCGCTCATCAAGGGCTTCCTCTCTCTTCAAGCTAGCGCTCAGAAACAGGCCCACGAGGATGCTGCTGCTAGGGGTGATATACACACAGGAGTGAGTGCGGGTATCAAGAATCGGGCCGCTTTTGGTGATTTCATCACGGCTCAGATCAAGACGATGAGCTTCCTGGCCTACCTCCTCCGCCAGTACGCTTCACAATTGAAAGACTTCCTTCACCTATTGCCCGACATTGTGATTCGATTACTCAAAGACTGCCCGCGGGAGAAGTCGGGTACGCGAAAGGAGCTCCTCATTGCTATTAGGCATATCATCAATTACAATTTTCGCAAGATTTTTCTCCCCAAGATCGATGCGCTTTTGGACGAGCGCACGCTAACTGGCGATGGCTTGACTGTTTATGAGACGATGAGGCCGCTAGCATATAGCATGTTGGCCGATCTGATTCATCATGTACGCGACTCATTGACTCCAGAGCAGATTCGCAAAACTGTCGAAGTATATACCAGAAATCTTCAAGATAACTTCCCTGGAACTAGCTTCCAGACTATGAGTGCGAAACTTCTCTTGAACATGGCTGAATGCATCGCGAAGCTTCCCAACAAGGTGGACGCAAGACACTACTTGATGATGATTCTCAATGCTATCGGCGACAAATTTGCTGCCATGAACCGACAGTACCCCAACGCTGTGAAGCTTTCCAAGCTATACCACCAACAGGCCGAGGCTGGCGCGCCTGAATCATATCTTGCTGATAAGGAGACACCCCCAGATTGGGATGAGACCGATATCTTCTCTGCGGTGCCCATCAAGATTTCGAACCCCCGGGATCGAGGTGCTGATCCAGTCGGAGACAACAAATTTCTTTTCAGGAATTTGATGAATGGGCTCAAGAACACGTTCTACCAACTGAGAACTTGTAACATTGGCACGCCCATTGACCCCCAGAACGCACCACCACACTGGCAAGAGGTCGCTTACGGCTTTACGGCAGAGGAAGTGAATGTCATCGTCAAATTGTTTCGGGAGGGTGCATATGTCTTCCGATACTACGAAATCGAAAAACCAGCAACAGAGAACCAGTATGTATCGCCTGTTGAGTATATGGCGAATTTTTATATGGTTTCGAGCAGTAAGGAAGAGAAAGATCTGCTAGAAACATTCGCCACCGTTTTCCATTGCATCGACCCAGCTACCTTTCACGAAGTATTCCAGCAGGAGATTCCACATCTTTATGATATGATCTTTGAGCACACGGCCCTGCTGCATATACCCCAGTTCTTTCTTGCCAGCGAAGCGACGTCGCCGAGCTTTTGCGGTATGCTTTTACAGTTCCTTATGGAGCGAATCGACGAAGTTGGCTCAGCAGACGTCAAGAAATCCTCCATCTTGCTGCGGCTGTTCAAACTGGCGTTTATGGCGGTAACCTTGTTTGCCACACAAAACGAACAAGTTTTGCTACCTCATGTCGTCAATATTGTGACAAAATCGATAGAGCTGTCGACCAAAGCAGAGGAGCCCATGAACTATTTCCTTCTTCTGCGGTCCCTTTTCAGGAGCATCGGTGGCGGTAAATTCGAGCAGCTCTACAAGCAAATTCTACCTTTGCTTGAGATGTTACTGGATGTTCTCAATAATCTTCTCATGGCCGCGCGGAAACCATCAGAACGAGATCTATACGTCGAGCTGTGCCTTACTGTGCCGGCGCGACTTAGCCATTTGCTGCCGCATCTGAGCTTTCTCATGCGTCCCTTGGTTGTAGCTCTTCGGGCCGGCACCGACCTTGTTGGGCAAGGACTTCGTACGTTGGAGCTCTGTGTCGACAATCTCACGGCCGACTACCTCGATCCGATCATGGCACCAGTGATCGACGAGCTTATGACCGCCCTATTCGATCATCTGAAGCCGCATCCTTATAGCCATTTCCATGCGCATACTACCATGCGGATCCTGGGAAAGCTTGGAGGTAGAAACCGCAAATTCATGACAGGCGCTGTTCCTCTTGCATATACTAGCTTTGCAGACGATCCTTCGAGCTTTGATTTACGGCTTATTGGTTCCAAGAAAGACAGGGCATTCCCGGCCGAACTTGGTATCGATTTTGCTATTCAAAAGCTGATGGATGTGCCCAGGAACAACAAGAATAGCCAAAATCGACAACATGATGATTACTACAAGAAACAGGCTATCCATTTCATCAAAGCTCAGCTGAAACTGCGCATCGGTTTTGATCAACTGCCCGACGATTTCCCAAAGATTGTCAGGCTCCAGGCACAAGACTTTTTGAATCGCAATTTGGATATCAATTTCGCGCCGTTCGAAATTTCAAGTCGTGAAAAGTCTATTCCCAAAAAGGATGAAGAGGATAAAATAACCAAGAAATTGCTCAAAGCGATCATGTTTTCGCAGTCAATAGCGGATGTCAAACAGGAGTCCAGCACTTTCCTCCTTGACGTTTGTCGACATTTCGTTCTCATCGAAGTTGGACGATCCTTGATCGACTTGAAGCGAACCTATAGCCCCTTTGACCCCAAAGCAGGCGAAGGCCCACTGACAATTGATACTCGTGTCTTATCAGATGCCATTGTTGAATCTCTAGCTTCCGACCACCCCGATGTTCGCGAAGCAGCGCAGCAGGCGATCCGAGAACTCTACAGCTGCACAGCTCTCATCTTTGGCTCAGATGTCAATGTAGGGCGACTCCAGTTATTCCACCACCTCAGTAACACATTCTGCCATAGCTGCTATGAGGAGGAATGGTTTACAAAAACTGGAGGAAGCCTTGGCATTAACTTCTTGCTTACGGAGCTTGACCTCGGCGATGCTTGGGTCGCATCGAAACAAACCGAATTCATTCGTGCTCTCATGTATGTCATCAAAGACATGCCCCTGGATCTCCCTGAGAAGACGAGGTGTCTTGCCCAGACAAGCCTTGAAGTTCT